GGCATTACCATTAGAGGGGCGTTACCATTAGAGAGGGCGTTACCATAAGAGAGGGCGTCACCATTAGAGAGGCGTTACCATTAGAGAGGGCGTTACCATTAGAGAGGGCGTTACCATTAACAAGAAGCGTTACCATTAGAGAGGGCGTTACCATTAAAGAGGGCGTTACCATTAGAGAGGGCGTTACCATTAGAGAGGGCGTTACCATTGAGAGGGCGTTACCATTAGAGAGGGCGTTACCATTAGAGAGGGCGTTACCATTAGAAATGCGTTCCCATTAGAGAGGGCGTTACCATTAGAGAGGGCGTTACCAATTAGAGAGGCGTTACCATTAGGAGGGCCGTTACCATTAGAGAGGCCGTTACCATTAAAGATCCGTTACCAGATGGCGTTACCATTAGAGAGGGCGTTACCTTAGAGAGGGCGTTACCATTAGAGAGGGCGTTACCATTAGAGAGGCGTTACCATTAGAGGAGGTTACCATTAGAGAGGGCGTTACCATTAGAGAGGGCGTTACCATTAAGAGGGCGTTACCATTAGAGAGGGCGTTACCATTAGAGAGGGCGTTACCATTAGAGAGGGCGTTACCATTAGAGAGGCGTTACCATTAGAGAGGGCGTTACCATTAGAGAGGGCGTTACATTAGAGAGGGCGTTACCATTAGAGAGGGCGTTACCATTAGAGAGGGCGTTACCATTAGAGAGGGCGTTACCATTAGAGAGGGCGTTACCATTAGAGAGGGCGTCACCATTAGAGAGGGCGTTACCATTAGAGAGGGCGTTACCATTAGAGAGGGCGTTACCATTAAAGGGCGTTACCATTAGAGAGGGCGTTACCATTAGAGAGGGCGTTACCATTAGAGAGGGCGTTACCATTAGAGAGGGCGTTACCATTAGAGAGGGCGTTACCATTAGAGAGTGGCGTTACCATTAGAGAGGGCGTTACCATTAGAGATTGCTTTACCATTAGAGAGGGCGTTACCATTAGAGAGGCGTTACCATTAGAGAGGGCGTTACCATTAGAGAGGCGTTACCATTAAAGAGGGCGTTACCATTAGAGAGGCGTTACCATTAGAGAGGGCGTTACCATTAGAGAGGGCGTTACCATTAGAAAGGGCGTTACCATTAGAGAGGGCGTTACCATTAGAGAGGCGTTACCATTAGAGAGGGCGTTACCATTAGAGAGGCGTTACCATTAGAGAGGGCGTTACCATTAGAGAGGGCGTTACCATTAGAGAGAGGACAGCGTTACCATTAGAGAGGGCGTTACCATTAGAGAGGGAGGCGTTACCATTAGAGAGGCGCTACCATTAGAGAGGGCTGTTACCATTAGAGAGGGCGTTACATTAGAGAGGGGCGTTACCATTAAGAGGGCGTTACCATTAGAGAGGGCGTTACCATTAGAGAGGGCGTTACCATTAGAGAGGGCGTTACCATTAGAGAGGGCGTTACCATTAGAGAGGGCGTTACCATTAGAGAGGGCGTTACCATTAGAGAGGGCGTTACCATTAAGAGGGCGTTACCATTAGAGAGGGCGTTACCATTAGAGAGGGCGTTACCATTAGAGAGGGCGTTACCATTAAAGAGGTGCGTTACCATTAGAGAGGGCGTTACCATTAGAGAGGGCGTTACCATTAGAGAGACGTTACCATTAGAGAGGTGCGTTACCATTAGAGAGGGCGTTACCATTAGAGAGGGCGTTACCATTAGAAATATGCGTTACCATTAGAGAGGGCGTTACCATTAGAGAGGGCGTTACCATTAGAGAGGGCGTTACCATTAGAGAGGGCGTTACCATTAGAGAGGGCGTTTACCATTAGAGAGGGCGTTACCATTAGAGAGGGCGTTACCATTAGAGAGGGCGTTTACCATTAGAGAGGGCGCTACCATTAGAGAGGCTTACCATTAGAGAGGGCGTTACCATTAGAGAGGGCGTTACCATTAGAGGGCGTTACCATTAGAGAGGGCGTTACCATTAGAGAGGGCGTTACCATTAGAGAGGGCGTTACCATTAGAGAGGGCGTTACCATTAGAGAGGCCGTTACCATTAGAGAGGGCGTTACCATTAGAGAGGGCGTTACCATTAGAGAGGGCGTTACCATTAGAGAGGGCGTTACCATTAGAGAGGCGTTACCATTAAGAGGGCGTTACCATTAGAAGGGCGTTACCATTAGAGAGGGCGTTACCATTAGAGAGGGCGTTACCATTAGAGAGGGCGTTACCATTAGAGAGGGCGTTACCATTAGAGAGGGCGTTACCATTAGAGAGGGCGTTACCATTAGAAAGGCCGTTACCATTAGAGAGGGCGTTACCATTAGAGAGGGCGTTACCATTATAGAGGGCGTTACCATTAGAGAGGGCGTTACCATTAGAGAGGGCGTTACCATTAGAGAGGGCGTTACCATTAGAGAGGGCGTTACCATTAGAGAGGGCGTTACCATTAGAGAGGGCGTTACCATTAGAGCGGGCGTTACCATTAGAAATTGCGTTACCATTAGAGAGGGCGTTACCATTAGAGAGGGCGTTACCATTAAAGAGGGCGTCACCATTAGAGAAAGCGTTACCATTAGAGATGGCGTTACCATTAGAAAGGCCGTTACCATTAGAGAGGGCGTTACCATTAGGGAGGGCGTTACCATTAGAGAGGGCGTTACCATTAGAGAGGGCGTTACCATTAGAGAGGGCGTTACCATTAGAGAGGGCGTTACCATTAGAGAGGGCGTTACCATTAGAGAGGGCGTTATCATTAGAGAGGGCGTTACCATTAGAGAGGGCGTTACCATTAGAGAGGGCGTTACCATTAGAGAGGGCGTTACCATTAGAGATGGCGCTACCATTAGAGAGGGCGCTACTATTAGAGAGGGCGCTACCATTAGAGAGAGGGCGCTACCATTAGAGATGGCGTTACCATTAGAGAGGGCGCTACCATTAGAGAGGGCGCTACCATTAGAGAGGGCGCTACCATTAGAGAGGGCGCTACCATTAGAGAGGACGTTACCATTAGAGAGGACGTTACCATTAGAGAGGGCGTTACCATTAGAGAGAGCATTACCATTAGAGAGGGCGTTACCATTAGAGAGGGCGTTACCATTAGAGAGGGCGTTACTATTAGAGAGGCCGTGACCATTAAAGAGGGCGTTACCATTAGAGAGTGCGTTACCATTAGAGAGGGCGTTACCATTAGAGAGAGCGTTACCATTAGAGAGGGCGTTACCATTAGAGAGGGCGTCACCATTAGAGAGGGCATTACCATTAGAGAGGGCGTCACCATAAGAGAGGGCGTCACCATTAGGGAGGCGTTACCATTAGAGAGGGCGTTACCATTAGAGAGGGCGTTACCATTAAAAAGGGCGTTACCATTAGAGAGGGCGTTACCATTAAAGAGGGCGTTACCATTAGAGAGGGCGTTACCATTAGAGAGGGCGTTACCATTAAAGAGGGCGTTACCATTAGAGACGGCGTTACCATTAGAGCGGGCGTTACCATTAGAAATTGCGTTACCATTAGAGAGGGCGTTACCATTAGAGAGGGCGTTACAATTAGAGAGGGCGTTACCATTAGAGAGGTCGTTACCATTAGAGAGACCGTTACCATTAGAGAGGCCGTTACCATTAGAGATGGCATTACCATTAGAGAGGGCGTTACCATTAGAGAGGGCGTTATTATTAGAGAGGGCGTTACCATTAGAGCGGGCGTTACCATTAGAAATTGCGTTACCATTAGAGAGGGCGTTACCATTAGAGAGGGCGTTACAATTAGAGAGGGCGTTACCATTAGAGAGGCCGTTACCATTAGAGAGACCGTTACCATTAGAGAGGCCGTTACCATTAGAGATGGCATTACCATTAGAGAGGGCGTTACCATTAGAGAGGGCGTTACCATTAGAGAGGGCATTACCATTAGAGAGGCCGTTATCATTAGAGAGGCCGTTACCATTAGAGAGGCCGTTACCATTAGAGAGGGCGTTACCATTAGAGAGGGCGTTACCATTAGAGAGAGCGTTACCTATTAGAGAGCGCGTTACCATTAGAAGGGCGTTACCATTAGAGAGGGCGTTACCATTAGAGAGCCGCGTTAGAGAGCGGTTACCATGAGAAAGGGCGTTACCATTGGAGAGGGCGTTACCATTAGAGAGGGGCGTTACCATTAGAGAGAGCGTTACCATTGAGAGGCCGTTACCATTAGAGAGGGCGTTACCATTAGAGAGGGCGTTACCATTAGAGAGGGCGTTACCATTAGAGAGGGCGTCACCATTAGAGAGGCGTCACCATTAGAGAGGGCGTTACCATGAGAAAGGGCGTTACTATTAGAGAGGGCGTTACTTTTAGAGATGGCGTTACCATTAGAGAGGGCGTCACCATTAGAGAAAGCGTTACCATTAGAGATGGCGTTACCATTAGAAAGGCCGTTACCATTAGAGAGGGCGTTACCATTAGGGAGGGCGTTACCATTAGAGAGGGCGTTACCATTAGAGAGGGCGTTACCATTAGAAAGGGCGTTACCATTAGAGAGGGCGTTACCATTTGAGAGGGCGTTACCATTAGAGAGGGCGTTACCATTAGAGAGGGCGTTACCATTAGAGAGGGCGTTACCATTAAAAAGGGCGTTACCATTAGAGAGGGCGTTACCATTAAAGAGGGCGTTACCATTAGAGAGGGCGTTACCATTAGAGAGGGCGTTACCATTAAAGATGGCGTTACCATTAGAGAGGGCGTTACCATTAGAGCGGGCGTTACCATTAGAAATTGCGTTACCATTAGAGAGGGCGTTACCATTAGAGAGGGCGTTACAAATAGAGAGGGCGTTACCATTAGAGAGGTCGTTACCATTAGAGAGACCGTTACCATTAGAGAGGCCGTTACCATTAGAGATGGCATTACCATTAGAGAGGGCGTTACCATTAGAGAGGGCGTTACCATTAGAGAGAGCGTTACTATTAGAGAGCGCGTTACCATGAGAGAGGGCGTTACCATTAGAGAGGGCGTTACCATTAGAGAGGGCGTTACTATTAGAGAGAGCGTTACCATTGGAGAGGCCGTTACCATTAGAGAGGGCGTTACCATTAGAGAGGGCGTTACCATTAGAGAGGGCGTTACCATTAGAGAGGGCGTCACCATTAGAGAGGCGTCATCATTAGAGAGGGCGTTACCATGAGAAAGGGCGTTACTATTAGAGAGGGCGTTACTTTTAGAGATGGCGTTACCATTAGAGAGGGCGTCACCATTAGAGAAAGCGTTACCATTAGAGATGGCGTTACCATTAGAAAGGCCGTTACCATTAGAGAGGGCGTTACCATTAGGGAGGGCGTTACCATTAGAGAGGGCGTTACCATTAGAGAGGGCGTTACCATTAGAAAGGGCGTTACCATTAGAGAGGGCGTTACCATTTGAGAGGGCGTTACCATTAGAGAGGGCGTTACCATTAGAGAGGGCGTTACCATTAGAGAGGGCGTTACTATTAGAGAGGCCGTTACCATTAAAGAGGGCGTTACCATTAGAGAATGCGTTACCATTAGAGAGGGCGTTACCATTAGAGAGAGCGTTACCATTAGAGGGGGCGTTACCATTAGAGAGGGCGTCACCACTAGAGAGGGCATTACCATTAGAGAGGGCGTCACCATAAGAGAGGGCGTCACCATTAGAGAGGCGTTACCATTAGAGAGGGCGTTACCATTAGAGAGGGCGTTACCATTAGAGAGGGCGTTACCATTAGAGAGGGCGTTACCATTAGAGAGGGCGTTATCATTAGAGAGGGCATTACCATTAGAGAGGGCGTTACCATTAGAGAGGGCGTTACCATTAGAGAGGGCGTTACCATTAGAGATGGCGCTACCATTAGAGAGGGCGCTACTATTAGAGAGGGCGCTACCATTAGAGAGAGGGCGCTACCATTAGAGATGGCGTTACCATTAGAGAGGGCGCTACCATTAGAGAGGGCGCTACCATTAGAGAGGGCGCTACCATTAGAGAGGGCGCTACCATTAGAGAGGACGTTACCATTAGAGAGGACGTTACCATTAGAGAGGGCGTTACCATTAGAGAGAGCATTACCATTAGAGAGGGCGTTACCATTAGAGAGGGCGTTACCATTAGAGAGGGCGTTACTATTAGAGAGGCCGTGACCATTAAAGAGGGCGTTACCATTAGAGAGTGCGTTACCATTAGAGAGGGCGTTACCATTAGAGAGAGCGTTACCATTAGAGAGGGCGTTACCATTAGAGAGGGCGTCACCATTAGAGAGGGCATTACCATTAGAGAGGGCGTCACCATAAGAGAGGGCGTCACCATTAGGGAGGCGTTACCATTAGAGAGGGCGTTACCATTAGAGAGGGCGTTACCATTAAAAAGGGCATTACCATTAGAGAGGGCGTTACCATTAAAGAGGGCGTTACCATTAGAGAGGGCGTTACCATTAGAGAGGGCGTTACCATTAAAGAGGGCGTTACCATTAGAGAGGGCGTTACCATTAGAGCGGGCGTTACCATTAGAAATTGCGTTACCATTAGAGAGGGCGTTACCATTAGAGAGGGCGTTACAATTAGAGAGGGCGTTACCATTAGAGAGGTCGTTACCATTAGAGAGACCGTTACCATTAGAGAGGCCGTTACCATTAGAGATGGCATTACCATTAGAGAGGGCGTTACCATTAGAGAGGGCGTTATTATTAGAGAGGGCGTTACCATTAGAGCGGGCGTTACCATTAGAAATTGCGTTACCATTAGAGAGGGCGTTACCATTAGAGAGGGCGTTACAATTAGAGAGGGCGTTACCATTAGAGAGGCCGTTACCATTAGAGAGACCGTTACCATTAGAGAGGCCGTTACCATTAGAGATGGCATTACCATTAGAGAGGGCGTTACCATTAGAGAGGGCGTTACCATTAGAGAGGGCATTACCATTAGAGAGGCCATTATCATTAGAGAGGCCGTTACCATTAGAGAGGCCGTTACCATTAGAGAGGGCGTTACCATTAGAGAGGGCGTTACCATTAGAGAGAGCGTTACTATTAGAGAGCGCGTTACCATGAGAAAGGGCGTTACCATTGGAGAGGGCGTTACCATTAGAGAGGGCGTTACCATTAGAGAGAGCGTTACCATTGGAGAGGCCGTTACCATTAGAGAGGGCGTTACCATTAGAGAGGGCGTTACCATTAGAGAGGGCGTTACCATTAGAGAGGGCGTCACCATTAGAGAGGCGTCACCATTAGAGAGGGCGTTACCATGAGAAAGGGCGTTACTATTAGAGAGGGCGTTACTTTTAGAGATGGCGTTACCATTAGAGAGGGCGTCACCATTAGAGAAAGCGTTACCATTAGAGATGGCGTTACCATTAGAAAGGCCGTTACCATTAGAGAGGGCGTTACCATTAGGGAGGGCGTTACCATTAGAGAGGGCGTTACCATTAGAGAGGGCGTTACCATTAGAAAGGGCGTTACCATTAGAGAGGGCGTTACCATTTGAGAGGGCGTTACCATTAGAGAGGGCGTTACCATTAGAGAGGGCGTTACCATTAGAGAGGGCGTTACCATTAAAAAGGGCGTTACCATTAGAGAGGGCGTTACCATTAAAGAGGGCGTTACCATTAGAGAGGGCGTTACCATTAGAGAGGGCGTTACCATTAAAGAGGGCGTTACCATTAGAGAGGGCGTTACCATTAGAGCGGGCGTTACCATTAGAAATTGCGTTACCATTAGAGAGGGCGTTACCATTAGAGAGGGCGTTACAATTAGAGAGCGCGTTACCATTAGAGAGGTCGTTACCATTAGAGAGACCGTTACCATTAGAGAGGCCGTTACCATTAGAGATGGCATTACCATTAGAGAGGGCGTTACCATTAGAGAGAGCGTTACCATTAGAGAGAGCGTTACTATTAGAGAGCGCGTTACCATGAGAAAGGGCGTTACCATTGGAGAGGGCGTTACCATTAGAGAGGGCGTTACCATTAGAGAGAGCGTTACCATTGGAGAGGCCGTTACCATTAGAGAGGGCGTTACCATTAGAGAGGGCGTTACCATTAGAGAGGGCGTTACCATTAGAGAGGGCGTCACCATTAGAGAGGCGTCACCATTAGAGAGGGCGTTACCATGAGAAAGGGCGTTACTATTAGAGAGGGCGTTACTTTTAGAGATGGCGTTACCATTAGAGAGGGCGTCACCATTAGAGAAAGCGTTACCATTAGAGATGGCGTTACCATTAGAAAGGCCGTTACCATTAGAGAGGGCGTTACCATTAGGGAGGGCGTTACCATTAGAGAGGGCGTTACCATTAGAGAGGGCGTTACCATTAGAAAGGGCGTTACCATTAGAGAGGGCGTTACCATTTGAGAGGGCGTTACCATTAGAGAGGGCGTTACCATTAGAGAGGGCGTTACCATTAGAGAGGGCGTTACTATTAGAGAGGCCGTTACCATTAAAGAGGGCGTTACCATTAGAGAATGCGTTACCATTAGAGAGGGCGTTACCATTAGAGAGAGCGTTACCATTAGAGAGGGCGTTACCATTAGAGAGGGCGTCACCACTAGAGAGGGCATTACCATTAGAGAGGGCGTCACCATAAGAGAGGGCGTCACCATTAGAGAGGCGTTACCATTAGAGAGGGCGTTACCATTAGAGAGGGCGTTACCATTAGAGAGGGCGTTACCATTAAAAAGGGCGTTACCATTAGAGAGGGCGTTACCATTAAAGAGGGCGTTACCATTAGAGAGGGCGTTACCATTAGAGAGGGCGTTACCATTAGTGAGGGCGTTATTATTAGAGAGGGCGTTACCATTAGAGCGGGCGTTACCATTAGAAATTGCGTTACCATTAGAGAGGGCGTTACCATTAGAGAGGGCGTTACAATTAGAGAGGGCGTTACCATTAGAGAGGCCGTTACCATTAGAGAGACCGTTACCATTAGAGAGGCCGTTACCATTAGAGATGGCATTACCATTAGAGAGGGCGTTACCATTAGAGAGGGCGTTACCATTAGAGAGGGCATTACCATTAGAGAGGCCGTTATCATTAGAGAGGCCGTTACCATTAGAGAGGCCGTTACCATTAGAGAGGGCGTTACCATTAAAAATGCCGTTACCATTAGAGAGGGCGTTACCATTAAAAATGCTGTTACCATTAGAGAGGGCGTTACCATTAGAGAGGGCGTTACCATTAGAAATTGCGTTAACATAAGAGAGGGCGTTACCATTAGAGAGGGCGTTACCATTAGAGAGGGCGTTACCATTAGAGAGGGCGTTACCATTAGAGAGGGCGTTACCATTAGAGAGGGCGTTATTATTAGAGCGGGCGTTACCATTAGAGAGGGCGTTGCCATTAAAGAGGGCGCTACCATTAGAGAGGGCGCTACCATGAGAGAGGGCGTTACCATTAGAGAGGGCGTTACTATTAGAGAGGGCGTTACCATGAGAAAGGGCGTTACCATTGGAGAGGGCGTTACCATTAGAGAGGGCGTTACCATTAGAGAGAGCGTTACCATTAGAGAGGCCGTTACCATTAGAGAGGGCGTTACCATTAGAGAGGCCGTTACCATTAGAGAGGACGTTACCATAAAGAGGGCGTTACCATTAGAGAGGGCGTTACCATTAGAGAGGGCGTCACCATTAGAGAGGCGTCACCATGAGAAAGGGCGTTACTATTAGAGAGGGCATTACTTTTAGAGATGGCGTTACCATTAAAGAGGGCGTCACCATTAGAGAAAGCGTTACCATTAGAGATGGCGTTACCATTAGAAAGGCCGTTACCATTAGAGAGGGCGTTACCATTAGGGAGGGCGTTACCATTAGAGAGGGCGTTACCATTAGAGAGGGCGTTACCATTAGAGAGGGCGTTACCATTAGAGAGGGCGTTACCATTAGGGAGGGCGTTACCATTAGAGAGGGCGTTACTATTAGAGAGGGCGTTACCATTAGAGAGGGCGTTACCATTAGAGATGGTGCTACCATTAGAGAGGGCGCTACTATTAGAGAGCGCGCTACCATTAGAGAGAGGGCGCTGGGGCATTACCATTAGAGAGGGCGTTACCATTAGAGAGGGCGTCACCATAAGAGAGGGCGTCACCATTAGAGAGGCGTTACCATTAGAGAGGGCGTTACCATTAGAGAGGGCGTTACCATTAAAAAGGGCGTTACCATTAGAGAGGGCGTTACCATTAAAGAGGGCGTTACCATTAGAGAGGGCGTTACCATTAGAGAGGGCGTTACCATTAGAGAGGGCGTTACCATTAGAGAGGGTGTTACCATTAGAGAGGGCGTTACCATTAGAGCGGGCGTTACCATTAGAAATTGCGTTACCATTAGAGAGGGCGTTACCATTAGAGAGGGCGTTACAATTAGAGAGGGCGTTACCATTAGAGAGGCCGTTACCATTAGAGAGACCGTTACCATTAAAGAGGCCGTTACCAGATGGCATTACCATTAGAGAGGGCGTTACCATTAGAGAGGGCGTTACCATTAGAGAGGGCATTACCATTAGAGAGGCAGTTATCATTAGAGAGGCCGTTACCATTAGAGAGGCCGTTACCATTAGAGAGGGCGTTACCATTAGAGAGGGCGTTACCATTAGAGAGGGCGTTACCATTAGAGAGGGCGTTACCATTAGAGAGCGCGTTACCATGAGAAAGGGCGTTACCATTGGAGAGGGCGTTACCATTAGAGAGGGCGTTACCATTAGAGAGAGCGTTACTATTAGAGAGCGCGTTACCATGAGAAAGGGCGTTACCATTGGAGAGGGCGTTACCATTAGAGAGGGCGTTACCATTAGAGAGAGCGTTACCATTGGAGAGGCCGTTACCATTAGAGAGGGCGTTACCATTAGAGAGGGCGTTACCATTAGAGAGGGCGTTACCATTAGAGAGGGCGTCACCATTAGAGAGGCGTCACCATTAGAGAGGGCGTTACCATGAGAAAGGGCGTTACTATTAGAGAGGGCGTTACTTTTAGAGATGGCGTTACCATTAGAGAGGGCGTCACCATTAGAGAAAGCGTTACCATTAGAGATGGCGTTACCATTAGAAAGGCCGTTACCATTAGAGAGGGCGTTACCATTAGGGAGGGCGTTACCATTAGAGAGGGCGTTACCATTAGAGAGGGCGTTACCATTAGAAAGGGCGTTACCATTAGAGAGGGCGTTACCATTTGAGAGGGCGTTACCATTAGAGAGGGCGTTACCATTAGAGAGGGCGTTACCATTAGAGAGGGCGTTACTATTAGAGAGGCCGTTACCATTAAAGAGGGCGTTACCATTAGAGAATGCGTTACCATTAGAGAGGGCGTTACCATTAGAGAGAGCGTTACCATTAGAGAGGGCGTTACCATTAGAGAGGGCGTCACCACTAGAGAGGGCATTACCATTAGAGAGGGCGTCACCATAAGAGAGGGCGTCACCATTAGAGAGGCGTTACCATTAGAGAGGGCGTTACCATTAGAGAGGGCGTTACCATTAGAGAGGGCGTTACCATTAAAAAGGGCGTTACCATTAGAGAGGGCGTTACCATTAAAGAGGGCGTTACCATTAGAGAGGGCGTTACCATTAGAGAGGGCGTTACCATTAGAGAGGGCGTTATTATTAGAGAGGGCGTTACCATTAGAGCGGGCGTTACCATTAGAAATTGCGTTACCATTAGAGAGGGCGTTACCATTAGAGAGGGCGTTACAATTAGAGAGGGCGTTACCATTAGAGAGGCCGTTACCATTAGAGAGACCGTTACCATTAGAGAGGCCGTTACCATTAGAGATGGCATTACCATTAGAGAGGGCGTTACCATTAGAGAGGGCGTTACCATTAGAGAGGGCATTACCATTAGAGAGGCCGTTATCATTAGAGAGGCCGTTACCATTAGAGAGGCCGTTACCATTAGAGAGGGCGTTACCATTAAAAATGCCGTTACCATTAGAGAGGGCGTTACCATTAAAAATGCTGTTACCATTAGAGAGGGCGTTACCATTAGAGAGGGCGTTACCATTAGAAATTGCGTTAACATAAGAGAGGGCGTTACCATTAGAGAGGGCGTTACCATTAGAGAGGGCGTTACCATTAGAGAGGGCGTTACCATTAGAGAGGGCGTTACCATTAGAGAGGGCGTTATTATTAGAGCGGGCGTTACCATTAGAGAGGGCGTTGCCATTAAAGAGGGCGCTACTTTTAGAGAGGGCGCTACCATGAGAGAGGGCGTTACCATTAGAGAGGGCGTTACTATTAGAGAGGGCGTTACCATGAGAAAGGGCGTTACCATTGGAGAGGGCGTTACCATTAGAGAGGGCGTTACCATTAGAGAGAGCGTTACCATTAGAGAGGCCGTTACCATTAGAGAGGGCGTTACCATTAGAGAGGCCGTTACCATTAGAGAGGACGTTACCATAAAAGAGGGCGTTACCATTAGAGAGGGCGTTACCATTAGAGAGGGCGTCACCATTAGAGAGGCGTCACCATGAGAAAGGGCGTTACTATTAGAGAGGGCATTACTTTTAGAGATGGCGTTACCATTAAAGAGGGCGTCACCATTAGAGAAAGCGTTACCATTAGAGATGGCGTTACCATTAGAAAGGCCGTTACCATTAGAGAGGGCGTTACCATTAGGGAGGGCGTTACCATTAGAGAGGGCGTTACCATTAGAGAGGGCGTTACCATTAGAGAGGGCGTTACCATTAGAGAGGGCGTTACCATTAGGGAGGGCGTTACCATTAGAGAGGGCGTTACTATTAGAGAGGGCGTTACCATTAGAGAGGGCGTTACCATTAGAGATGGTGCTACCATTAGAGAGGGCGCTACTATTAGAGAGCGCGCTACCATTAGAGAGGGGGCGCTGGGGCATTACCATTAGAGAGGGCGTTACCATTAGAGAGGGCGTCACCATAAGAGAGGGCGTCACCATTAGAGAGGCGTTACCATTAGAGAGGGCGTTACCATTAGAGAGGGCGTTACCATTAAAAAGGGCGTTACCATTAGAGAGGGCGTTACCATTAAAGAGGGCGTTACCATTAGAGAGGGCGTTACCATTAGAGAGGGCGTTACCATTAGAGAGGGCGTTACCATTAGAGAGGGCGTTACCATTAGAGAGGGCGTTACCATTAGAGCGGGCGTTACCATTAGAAATTGCGTTACCATTAGAGAGGGCGTTACCATTAGAGAGGGCGTTACAATTAGAGAGGGCGTTACCATTAGAGAGGCCGTTACCATTAGAGAGACCGTTACCATTAAAGAGGCCGTTACCAGATGGCATTACCATTAGAGAGGGCGTTACCATTAGAGAGGGCGTTACCATTAGAGAGGGCATTACCATTAGAGAGGCAGTTATCATTAGAGAGGCCGTTACCATTAGAGAGGCCGTTACCATTAGAGAGGGCGTTACCATTAAAAATGTCGTTACCATTAGAGAGGGCGTTACCATTAGAGAGGGCGTTACCATTAGAGAGGGCGTTACCATTAGAGAGGGCGTTACCATTAGAGAGGGCGTTACTATTAGAGAGACCGTTACCATTACAGAAGGCGTTACCATTAGAGAGTGCGTTACCATTAGAGAGGGCGTTACCATTAGAGAGGGCGTCACCATTAGAGAGGGCGTTACCATTAGAGAGGGTGTCACCATAAGAGAGGGCATCACCATTAGAGAGGCGTTACCATTAGAGAGGGCGTTACCATTAGAGAGGGCGTTACCATTAAAGAGGGCGTTACCATTAGAGAGGGCGTTACCATTAGAGAGGGCGTTACCATTAAAGAGGGCGTTACCACTAGAGAGGGCGTTACCATTAGAGGGGGCGTTACCATTAGAGAGGGCGTTACCATTAGAGATTGCGTTACCATTAGAGAGGGCGTTACCATTAGAGGGCGTTACCATTAGAGAGGGCGTTACCATAAGAGAAGGCGTTACCATTAAAGAGGGCGTTACCATTAGAGAGGGCGTTACCATTAGAGAGGGCGATACCATTAGAGGGGGCGTTACCATTAGAAATTGCGTTACCATTAGAGAGGGCGTTACCATTAGAGAGGGCGTTACCATTAGAGAGGGCGTTACCATTAGAAAGGGCATTACCATTAGAGAGGGCGTTATCATTAGAGAGGGCGTTACCATTAGAGAGGGCGTTACCATTAGAGAGGGCGTTACCATTAGAGAGGGCGTTACCATTAGAGAGGGCGCTACCATTAGAGAGGGTGTTACCATTAGAGAGGGCGTCACCATTAGAGAGGGCGTTACCATTAGAGAGGGCGTTACCATTACAGAGGGCGTTACCATTAGAGAGGGCGCTACCATTAGAGAGGGTGTTACCATTAGAGAGGGCGTCACCATTAGAGAGGGCGTTACCATTAGAGAGGGCGTTACCATTAGAGAGGGCGTTACCATTAGAGAGGGCGTTACCATTAAAGAGGGCGTTACCATTAGAGAGGGCGTTACCATTAGAGAGGGCGTTACCATTAAAGAGGGCGTTATCATTAGAGAGGGTGTTACCATTAGAGAGGGCGTTACCATTAGAGAGGGCGTTACCATTAGAGAGGGCGTTACCATTAGAGAGGGCGTAACCATTAGAGAGGGCGTTACCATTAGAAATTGCGTTACCATTAGAGAGGGCGTTACCATTAGAGAGGGCGTTACCATTAGAGAGGGCGTTACCATTAGAGAGGGCGTTACCATTAGAGAGGGCGTTACCATTAGAGAGGGCGTTACCATTAGAGAGGGCGTTACCATTAAAGAGGGCGTTACCATTAAAGAGGGCGCTACCATTAGAGAGGGCGCTACCATGAGAGAGGGCGTTACCATTAGAGAGGGCGTTACTATTAGAGGGCGTTACCATGAGAAAGGGCGTTACCATTGGAGAGGGCGTTACCATTAGAGAGGGCGTTACCATTAGAGAGAGCGTTACCATTAGAGAGGCCGTTACCATTAGAGAGGGCGTTACCATTAGAGAGGGCGTTACCATTAGAGAGGGCGTTACCACTAGAGAGGGCGTCACCATTAGAGAGGCGTCACCATTAGAGAGGGCGTTACCATGAGAAAGGGCGTTACTATTAGAGAGGGCGTTACTATTAGAGAGGGCGTTACTTTTAGAGATGGCGTTACCATCAAAGAGGGCGTCACCATTAGAGAAAGCGTTACCATTAGAGATGGCGTTACCATTAGAAAGGTCGTTACCATTAGAGAGGGCGTTACCATTAGGGAGGGCGTTACCATTAGAGAGGGCGTTACCATTAGAGAGGGCGTTACCATTAGAGAGGGCGTTACCATTAGAGAGGGCGTTACCATTAGAGAGGGCGTTACCATTAGAGAGGGCGTTATCATTAGAGAGGGCGTTACCATTAGAGAGGGCGTTACCATTAGAGAGGGCGTTACCATTAGAGAGGGCGTTACCATTAGAGATGGCGCTACCATTAGAGAGGGCGCTACTATTAGAGAGGGCGCTACCATTAGAGAGAGGGCGCTACCATTAGAGATGGCGTTACCATTAGAGAGGGCGCTACCATTAGAGAGGGCGCTACCATTAGAGAGGGCGCTACCATTAGAGAGGGCGCTACCATTAGAGAGGACGTTACCATTAGAGAGGACGTTACCATTAGAGAGGGCGTTACCATTAGAGAGAGCATTGCCATTAGAGAGGGCGTTACCATTAGAGAGGGCGTTACCATTAGAGAGGGCGTTACTATTAGAGAGGCCGTTACCATTAAAGAGGGCGTTACCATTAGAGAGTGCGTTACCATTAGAGAGGGCGTTACCATTAGAGAGAGCGTTACCATTAGAGAGGGCGTTACCATTAGAGAGGGCGTCACCATTAGAGAGGGCATTACCATTAGAGAGGGCGTCACCATAAGAGAGGGCGTCACCATTAGAGAGGCGTTACCATTAGAGAGGGCGTTACCATTAGAGAGGGCGTTACCATTAAAAAGGGCGTTACCATTAGAGAGGGCGTTACCATTAAAGAGGGCGTTACCATTAGAGAGGGCGTTACCATTAGAGAGGGCGTTACCATTAAAGAGGGCGTTACCATTAGAGAGGGCGTTACCATTAGAGCGGGCGTTACCATTAGAAATTGCGTTACCATTAGAGAGGGCGTTACCATTAGAGAGGGCGTTACAATTAGAGAGGGCGTTACCATTAGAGAGGCCGTTACCATTAGAGAGACCGTTACCATTAGAGAGGCCGTTACCATTAGAGATGGCATTACCATTAGAGAGGGCGTTACCATTAGAGAAGGCGTTACCATTAGAGAGGGCATTACCATTAGAGAGGTCGTTATCATTAGAGAGGCCGTTACCATTAGAGAGGCCGTTACCATAAGAGAGGGCGTTACCATTAAAAATGCCGTTACCATTAGAGAGGGCGTTACCATTAAAAATGCTGTTACCATTAGAGAGGGCGTTACCATTAGAGAGGGCGTTACCATTAGAGAGGGCGTTACCATTAGAGACGGCGTTACCATTAGAGAGGGCGTTACTATTAGAGAGGCCGTTACCATTAAAGAGGGCGTTACCATTAGAGAGTGCGTTACCATTAGAGAGGGCGTTACCATTAGAGAGGGCGTCACCATTAGAGAGGGCGTTACCATTAGAGAGGGCGTCACCATAAAGAGAGGGCGTCACCATTAGAGAGGCGTTACCATTAGAGAGGGCGTTACCATTAGAGAGGGCGTTACCATTAAAGAGGGCGTTACCATTAGAGAGGGCGTTACCATTAGAGAGGGCGTTACCATTAAAGAGGGCGTTACCACTAGAGAGGGCGTTACCATTAGAGGGGGCGTTACCATTAGAGAGGGCGTTACCATTAGAGATTGCGTTACCATTAGAGAGTGCGTTACCATTAGAGAGGGCGTTACCATTAGAGAGGGCGTTACCATTAGAGAGGGCGTTACCATTAAAGAGGGCGTTACCATTAGAGAGGGCGTTACAATTAGAGAGGGCGTTACCATTAGAGGGGGCGTTACCATTAGAAATTGCGTGACCATTAGAGAGGGCGTTACCATTAGAGAGGGCGTTACCATTAGAGAGGGCGTTACCATTAGAAAGGGCATTACCATTAGAGAGGGCGCTACCATTAGAGAGGGTGTTACCATTAAAGAGGGCGTCACCATTAGAGAGGGCGTTACCATTAGAGAGGGCGTTACCATTAGAGAGGGCGTTACCATTAGAGAGGGCGTTACCATTAAAGATGGCGTTACCATTAGAGAGGGCGTTACCATTAGAGAGGGCGTTACCATTAAAGAGGGTGTTATCATTAGAGAGGGCGTTACCATTAGAGAGGGCGTTACCATTAGAGAGGGCGTTACCATTAGAGCGGGCGTTACCATTAGAAATTGCGTTACCATTAGAGAGGGCGTTACCATTAGAGAGGGCGTTACAATTAGAGAGGGCGTTACCATTAGAGAGGCCGTTACCATTAGAGAGACCGTTACCATTAAAGAGGCCGTTACCATTAGAGATGGCATTACCATTAGAGAGGGCGTTACCATTAGAGAGGGCGTTACCATTAGAGAGGGCATTACCATTAGAGAGGCAGTTATCATTAGAGAGGCCGTTACCATTAGAGAGGCCGTTACCATTAGAGAGGGCGTTACCATTAAAAATGCCGTTACCATTAGAGAGGGCGTTACCATTAAAGAGGGCGTTACCATTAGAGAGGGCGTTACCATTAGAGAGGGCGTTACCATTAGAGAGGGCGTTACTATTGGAGAGGCCGTTACCATTAAAGAAGGCGTTACCATTAGAGAGTGCGTTACCATTAGAGAGGGCGTTACCATTAGAGAGGGCGTCACCATTAGAGAGGGCGTTACCATTAGAGAGGGCGTCACCATAAGAGAGGGCGTCACCATTAGAGAGGCGTTACCATTAGAGAGGGCGTTACCATTAGAGAGGGCGTTACCATTAAAGTGGGCGTTACCATTAGAGAGGGCGTTACCATTAGAGAGGGCGTTACCATTAAAGAGGGCGTTACCACTAGAGAGGGCGTTACCATTAGAGGGGGCGTTACCATTAGAGAGGGCGTTACCATTAGAGATTGCGTTACCATTAGAGAGGGCGTTACCATTAGAGAGGGCGTTACCATTAGAGAGGGCGTTACCATAAGAGAAGGCGTTACCATTAAAGAGGGCGTTACCATTAGAGAGGGCGTTACCATTAGAGAGGGCGATACCATTAGAGGGGGCGTTACCATTAGAAATTGCGTTACCATTAGAGAGGGCGTTACCATTAGAGAGGGCGTTACCATTAGAGAGGGCGTTACCATTAGAAAGGGCATTACCATTAGAGAGGGCGCTACCATTAGAGAGGGTGTTACCATTAGAGAGGGCGTCACCATTAGAGAGGGCGTTACCATTAGAGAGGGCGTTACCATTAGAGAGGGCGTTACCATTAGAGAGGGCGTTACCATTAAAGAGGGCGTTACCATTAGAGAGGGCGTTACCATTAGAGAGGGCGTTACCATTAAAGAGGGCGTTATCATTAGAGAGGGTGTTACCATTAGAGAGGGCGTTACCATTAGAGAGGGCGTTACCATTAGAGAGGGCGTTACCATTAGAGAGGGCGTAACCATTAGAGAGGGCGTTACCATTAGAAATTGCGTTACCATTAGAGAGGGCGTTACCATTAGAGAGGGCGTTACCATTAGAGAGGGCGTTACCATTAGAGAGGGCGTTACCATTAGAGAGGGCGTTACCATTAAAGAGGGCGTTACCATTAAAGAGGGCGCTACCATTAGAGAGGGCGCTACCATGAGAGAAGGCGTTACCATTAGAGAGGGCGTTACTATTAGAGAGGGCGTTACCATGAGAAAGGGCGTAACCATTGGAGAGGGCGTTACCATTAGAGAGGGCGTTACCATTAGAGAGAGCGTTACCATTAGAGAGGTCGTTACCATTAGAGAGGGCGTTACCATTAGAGAAGGCGTTACCATTAAAGAGGGCGTTACCATTAGAGAGGGCGTTACCATTAGAGAGGGCGATACCATTAGAGGGGGCGTTACCATTAGAAATTGCGTTACCATTAGAGAGGGCGTTACCATTAGAGAGGGCGTTACCATTAGAGAGGGCGTTACCATTAGAAAGGGCATTACCATTAGAGAGGGCGCTACCATTAGAGAGGGTGTTACCATTAGAGAGGGCGTCACCATTAGAGAGGGCGTTACCATTAGAGAGGGCGTTACCATTAGAGAGGGCGTTACCATTAGAGAGGGCGTTACCATTAAAGAGGGCGTTACCATTAGAGAGGGCGTTACCATTAGAGAGGGCGTTACCATTAAAGAGGGCGTTATCATTAGAGAGGGTGTTACCATTAGAGAGGGCGTTACCATTAGAGAGGGCGTTACCATTAGAGAGGGCGTTACCATTAGAGAGGGCGTAACCATTAGAGAGGGCGTTACCATTAGAGAGGGCGTTACCATTAGAAAGGGCATTACCATTAGAGAGGGCGTTACCATTAGAGAGGGTGTTACCATTAGAGAGGGCGTCACCATTAGAGAGGGCGTTACCATTAGAGAGGGCGTTACCATTAGAGAGGGCGTTACCATTAGAGAGGGCGTTACCATTAGAGAGGGCGTTACCATTAGAGAGGGCGTTACCATTAAAGAGGGCGTTACCATTAAAGAGGGCGCTACCATTAGAGAGGGCGCTTCCATGAGAGAAGGCGTTACCATTAGAGAGGGCGTTACTATTAGAGAGGGCGTTACCATGAGAAAGGGCGTAACCATTGGAGAGGGCGTTACCATTAGAGAGGGCGTTACCATTAGAGAGAACGTTACCATTAGAGAGGCCGTGACCATTAGAGAGGGCGTTACCATTAGAGAGGGCGTTACCATTAGAGAGGGCGTTACCACTAGAGAGGGCGTCACCATTAGAGAGGCGTCACCATTAGAGAGGGCGTTACTATTAGAGAGGGCGTTACTATTAGAGAGGGCGTTACTTTTAGAGATGGCGTTACCATTAAAGAGGGCGTCACCATTAGAGAAAGCGTTACCATTAGAGATGGCGTTACCATTAGAAAGGCCGTTACCATTAGAGAGGGCGTTACCATTAGGGAGGGCGTTACCATTAGAGAGGGCGTTACCATTAGAGAGGGCGTTACCATTAGAGAGGGCGTTACCATTAGAGAGGGCGTTACCATTAGAGAGGGCGTTACCATTAGAGAGGGCGTTATCATTAGAGAGGGCGTTACCATTAGAGAGGGCGTTACGATTAGAGAGGGCGTTACCATTAGAGAGGGCGTTACCATTAGAGATGGCGCTACCATTAGAGAGGGCGCTACTATTAGAGAGGGCGCTACCATTAGAGAGAGGGCGCTACCATTAGAGATGGCGTTACCATTAGAGAGGGCGCTACCATTAGAGAGGGCGCTACCATTAGAGAGGGCGCTACCATTAGAGAGGGCGCTACCATTAGAGAGGACGTTACCATTAGAGAGGACGTTACCATTAGAGAGGGCGTTACCATTAGAGAGAGCATTACCATTAGAGAGGGCGTTACCATTAGAGAGGGCGTTACCATTAGAGAGGGCGTTACCATTAGAGAGGGCGTTACCATTAAAGAGGGCGTTATCATTAGAGAGGGTGTTACCATTAGAGAGGGCGTTACCATTAGAGAGGGCGTTACCATTAGAGAGGGCGTAACCATTAGAGAGGGCGTTACCATTAGAAATTGCGTTACCATTAGAGAGGGCGTTACCATTAGAGAGGGCGTTACCATTAGAGAGGGCGTTACCATTAGAGAGGGCGTTACCATTAGAGAGGGCGTTACCATTAAAGAGGGCGTTACCATTAAAGAGGGCGCTACCATTAGAGAGGGCGCTACCATGAGAGAAGGCGTTACCATTAGAGAGGGCGTTACTATTAGAGAGGGCGTTACCATGAGAAAGGGCGTAACCATTGGAGAGGGCGTTACCATTAGAGAGGGCGTTACCATTAGAGAGAGCGTTACCATTAGAGAGGCCGTTACCATTAGAGAGGGCGTTACCATTAGAGAAGGCGTTACCATTAAAGAGGGCGTTACCATTAGAGAGGGCGTTACCATTAGAGAGGGCGATACCATTAGAGGGGGCGTTACCATTAGAAATTGCGCTACCATTAGAGAGGGCGTTACCATTAGAGAGGGCGTTACCATTAGAGAGGGCGTTACCATTAGAAAGGGCATTACCATTAGAGAGGGCGCTACCATTAGAGAGGGTGTTACCATTAGAGAGGGCGTCACCATTAGAGAGGGCGTTACCATTAGAGAGGGCGTTACCATTAGAGAGGGCGTTACCATTAGAGAGGGCGTTACCATTAAAGAGGGCGTTACCATTAGAGAGGGCGTTACCATTAGAGAGGGCGTTACCATTAAAGAGGGCGTTATCATTAGAGAGGGTGTTACCATTAGAGAGGGCGTTACCATTAGAGAGGGCGTTACCATTAGAGAGGGCGTTACCATTAGAGAGGGCGTAACCATTAGAGAGGGCGTTACCATTAGAGAGGGCGTTACCATTAGAAAGGGCATTACCATTAGAGAGGGCGTTACCATTAGAGAGGGCGTCACCATTAGAGAGGTCGTTACCATTAGAGAGGGCGTTACCATTAGAGAGGGCGTTACCATTAGAGAGGGCGTTACCATTAGAGAGGGCGTTACCATTAGAGAGGGCGTTACCATTAAAGAGGGCGTTACCATTAAAGAGGGCGCTACCATTAGAGAGGGCGCTTCCATGAGAGAAGGCGTTACCATTAGAGAGGGCGTTACTATTAGAGAGGGCGTTACCATGAGAAAGGGCGTAACCATTGGAGAGGGCGTTACCATTAGAGAGGGCGTTACCATTAGAGAGAACGTTACCATTAGAGAGGCCGTTACCATTAGAGAGGGCGTTACCATTAGAGAGGGCGTTACCATTAGAGAGGGCGTTACCACTAGAGAGGGCGTCACCATTAGAGAGGCGTCACCATTAGAGAGGGCGTTACTATTAGAGAGGGCGTTACTATTAGAGAGGGCGTTACTTTTAGAGATGGCGTTACCATTAAAGAGGGCGTCACCATTAGAGAAAGCGTTACCATTAGAGATGGCGTTACCATTAGAAAGGCCGTTACCATTAGAGAGGGCGTTACCATTAGGGAGGGCGTTACCATTAGAGAGGGCGTTACCATTAGAGAGGGCGTTACCATTAGAGAGGGCGTTACCATTAGAGAGGGCGTTACCATTAGAGAGGGCGTTACCATTAGAGAGGGCGTTATCATTAGAGAGGGCGTTACCATTAGAGAGGGCGTTACCATTAGAGAGGGCGTTACCATTAGAGAGGGCGTTACCATTAGAGATGGCGCTACCATTAGAGAGGGCGCTACTATTAGAGAGGGCGCTACCATTAGAGAGAGGGCGCTACCATTAGAGATGGCGTTACCATTAGAGAGGGCGCTACCATTAGAGAGGGCGCTACCATTAGAGAGGGCGCTACCATTAGAGAGGGCGCTACCATTAGAGAGGACGTTACCATTAGAGAGGACGTTACCATTAGAGAGGGCGTTACCATTAGAGAGAGCATTACCATTAGAGAGGGCGTTACCATTAGAGAGGGCGTTACCATTAGAGAGGGCGTTACTATTAGAGAGGCCGTTACCATTAAAGAGGGCGTTACCATTAGAGAGTGCGTTACCATTAGAGAGGGCGTTACCATTAGAGAGAGCGTTACCATTAGAGAGGGCGTTACCATTAGAGAGGGCGTCACCATTAGAGAGGGCATTACCATTAGAGAGGGCGTCACCATAAGAGAGGGCGTCACCATTAGAGAGGCGTTACCATTAGAGAGGGCGTTACCATTAAAAAGGGCGTTACCATTAGAGAGGGCGTTACCATTAAAGAGGGCGTTACCATTAGAGAGGGCGTTACCATTAGAGAGGGCGTTACCATTAAAGAGGGCGTTACCATTAGAGAGGGCGTTACCATTAGAGCGGGCGTTACCATTAGAAATTGCGTTACCATTAGAGAGGGCGTTACCATGAGAGAGGGCGTTACAATTAGAGAGGGCGTTACCATTAGAGAGGCCGTTACCATTAGAGAGACCGTTACCATTAGAGAGGCCGTTACCATTAGAGATGGCATTACCATTAGAGAGGGCGTTACCATTAGAGAGGGCGTTACCATTAGAGAGGGCATTACCATTAGAGAGGTCGTTATCATTAGAGAGGCCGTTACCATTAGAGAGGCCGTTACCATTAGAGAGGGCGTTACCATTAAAAATGCCGTTACCATTAGAGAGGGCGTTACCATTAAAAATGCCGTTACCATTAGAGAGGGCGTTACCATTAGAGAGGGCGTTACCATTAGAGAGGCGTCACCATTAGAGAGGGCGTTACCATGAGAAAGGGCGTTACTATTAGAGAGGGCGTTTCTTTTAGAGATGGCGTTACCATTAAAGAGGGCGTCACCATTAGAGAAAGCGTTACCATTAGAGATGGCGTTACCATTAGAAAGGCCGTTACCATTAGAGAGGGCGTTACCATTAGGGAGGGCGTTACCATTAGAGAGGGCGTTACCATTAGAGAGGGCGTTACCATTAGAGAGGGCGTTACCATTAGAGAGGGCGTTACCATTAGGGAGGGCGTTACCATTAGAGAGGGCGTTACCATTAGAGAGGGCGTTACCATTAGAGAGGGCGTTACCATTAGAGATGGCGCTACCATTAGAGAGGGCGCTACTATTAGAGAGGGCGCTACCATTAGAGAGAGGGCACTACCATTAGAGATGGCGTTACCATTAGAGAGGGCGCTACCATTAGAGAGGGCGCTACCATTAGAGAGGGCGCTACCATTAGAGAGGGCGCTACCATTAGAGAGGACGTTACCATTAGAGAGGACGTTACCATTAGAGAGGGCGTTACCATTAGAGAGAGCGTTACCATTAGAGGGTGTTACCATTAGAGAGGGCGTTACCATTAGAGAGGGCGTTACTATTAGAGAGGCCGTTACCATTAAAGAGGGCGTTACCATTAGAGAGTGCGTTACCATTAGAGAGGGCGTTACCATTAGAGAGAGCGTTACCATTAGAGAGGGCGTTACCATTAGAGAGGGCGTCACCATTAGAGAGGGCATTACCATAAGAGAGGGCGTTACCATTAGAGAGGGCGTCACCATAAGAGAGGGCGTCACCATTAGAGAGGCGTTACCATTAGAGAGGGCGTTACCATTAGAGAGGGCGTTACCATTAAAAAGGGCGTTACCATTAGAGAGGGCGTTACCATTAAAGAGGGCGTTACCATTAGAGAGGGCGTTACCATTAGAGAGGGCGTTACCATTAGAGCGGGCGTTACCATTAGAAATTGCGTTACCATTAGAGAGGGCGTTACCATTAGAGAGGGCGTTACAATTAGAGAGGGCGTTACCATTAGAGAGGCCGTTACCATTAGAGAGACCGTTACCATTAAAGAGGCCGTTACCATTAGAGATGGCATTACCATTAGAGAGGGCGTCACCATTAGAGAGGGCGTCACCATTAGAGAGGGCGTTACCATTAGAGAGGGCGTTACCATTAGAGAGGGCGTTACCATTAGAGAGGGCGTTACCATTAAAGAGGGCGTTACCATTAGAGAGGGCGTTACCATTAGAGAGGGCGTTACCATTAAAGAGGGCGTTATCATTAGAGAGGGTGTTACCATTAGAGAGGGCGTTACCATTAGAGAGGGCGTTACCATTAGAGAGGGCGTTACCATTAGAGAGGGCGTAACCATTAGAGAGGGCGTTACCATTAGAAATTGCGTTACCATTAGAGAGGGCGTTACCATTAGAGAGGGCGTTACCATTAGAGAGGGCGTTACCATTAGAGAGGGCGTTACCATTAGAGAGGGCGTTACCATTAAAGAGGGCGTTACCATTAAAGAGGGCGCTACCATTAGAGAGGGCGCTACCATGAGAGAAGGCATTACCATTAGAGAGGGCGTTACTATTAGAGAGGGCGTTACCATGAGAAAGGGCGTAACCATTGGAGAGGGCGTTACCATTAGAGAGGGCGTTACCATTAGAGAGAGCGTTACCATTAGAGAGGCCGTTACCATTAGAGAGGGCGTTACCATTAGAGAGGGCGTTACCATTAGAGAGGGCGTTACCACTAGAGAGGGCGTCACCATTAGAGAGGCGTCACCATTAGAGAGGGCGTCACCATTAGAGAGGGCGTTACTATTAGAGAGGGCGTTACTTTTAGAGATGGCGTTACCATTAAAGAGGGCGTCACCATTAGAGAAAGCGTTACCATTAGAGATGGCGTTACCATTAGAAAGGCCGTTACCATTAGAGAGGGCGTTACCATTAGGGAGGGCGTTACCATTAGAGAGGGCGTTACCATTAGAGAGGGCGTTACCATTAGAGAGGGCGTTACCATTAGAGAGGGCGTTACCATTAGAGAGGGCGTTACCATTAGAGAGGGCGTTATCATTAGAGAGGGCGTTACCATTAGAGAGGGCGTTACCATTAGAGAGGGCGTTACCATTAGAGAGGGCGTTACCATTAGAGATGGCGCTACCATTAGAGAGGGCGCTACTATTAGAGAGGGCGCTACCATTAGAGAGAGGGCGCTACCATTAGAGATGGCGTTACCATTAGAGAGGGCGCTACCATTAGAGAGGGCGCTACCATTAGAGAGGGCGCTACCATTAGAGAGGGCGCTACCATTAGAGAGGACGTTACCATTAGAGAGGACGTTACCATTAGAGAGGGCGTTACCATTAGAGAGAGCATTACCATTAGAGAGGGCGTTACCATTAGAGAGGGCGTTACCATTAGAGAGGGCGTTACTATTAGAGAGGCCGTTACCATTAAAGAGGGCGTTACCATTAGAGAGTGCGTTACCATTAGAGAGGGCGTTACCATTAGAGAGAGCGTTACCATTAGAGAGGGCGTTACCATTAGAGAGGGCGTCACCATTAGAGAGGGCATTACCATTAGAGAGGGCGTCACCATAAGAGAGGGCGTCACCATTAGAGAGGCGTTACCATTAGAGAGGGCGTTACCATTAAAAAGGGCGTTACCATTAGAGAGGGCGTTACCATTAAAGAGGGCGTTACCATTAGAGAGGGCGTTACCATTAGAGAGGGCGTTACCATTAAAGAGGGCGTTACCATTAGAGAGGGCGTTACCATTAGAGCGGGCGTTACCATTAGAAATTGCGTTACCATTAGAGAGGGCGTTACCATGAGAGAGGGCGTTACAATTAGAGAGGGCGTTACCATTAGAGAGGCCGTTACCATTAGAGAGACCGTTACCATTAGAGAGGCCGTTACCATTAGAGATGGCATTACCATTAGAGAGGGCGTTACCATTAGAGAGGGCGTTACCATTAGAGAGGACATTACCATTAGAGAGGTCGTTATCATTAGAGAGGCCGTTACCATTAGAGAGGCCGTTACCATTAGAGAGGGCGTTACCATTAAAAATGTCGTTACCATTAGAGAGGGCGTTACCATTAAAAATGCCGTTACCATTAGAGAGGGCGTTACCATTAGAGAGGGCGTTACCATTAGAGAGGCGTCACCATTAGAGAGGGCGTTACCATGAGAAAGGGCGTTACTATTAGAGAGGGCGTTTCTTTTAGAGATGGCGTTACCATTAAAGAGGGCGTCACCATTAGAGAAAGCGTTACCATTAGAGATGGCGTTACCATTAGAAAGGCCGTTACCATTAGAGAGGGCGTTACCATTAGGGAGGTACCATTAGAGAGGGCGTTACCATTAGAGAGGGCGTTACCATTAGAGAGGGCGTTACCATTAGGGAGGGCGTTACCATTAGAGAGGGCGTTACCATTAGAGAGGGCGTTACCATTAGAGAGGGCGTTACCATTAGAGATGGCGCTACCATTAGAGAGGGCGCTACTATTAGAGAGGGCGCTACCATTAGAGAGAGGGCACTACCATTAGAGATGGCGTTACCATTAGAGAGGGCGCTACCATTAGAGAGGGCGCTACCATTAGAGAGGGCGCTACCATTAGAGAGGGCGCTACCATTAGAGAGGACGTTACCATTAGAGAGGACGTTACCATTAGAGAGGGCGTTACCATTAGAGAGAGCGTTACCATTAGAGGGTGTTACCATTAGAGAGGGCGTTACCATTAGAGAGGGCGTTACTATTAGAGAGGCCGTTACCATTAAAGAGGGCGTTACCATTAGAGAGTGCGTTACCATTAGAGAGGGCGTTACCATTAGAGAGAGCGTTACCATTAGAGAGGGCGTTACCATTAGAGAGGGCGTCACCATTAGAGAGGGCATTACCATAAGAGAGGGCGTTACCATTAGAGAGGGCGTCACCATAAGAGAGGGCGTCACCATTAGAGAGGCGTTACCATTAGAGAGGGCGTTACCATTAGAGAGGGCGTTACCATTAAAAAGGGCGTTACCATTAGAGAGGGCGTTACCATTAAAGAGGGCGTTACCATTAGAGAGGGCGTTACCATTAGAGAGGGCGTTACCATTAGAGCGGGCGTTACCATTAGAAATTGCGTTACCATTAGAGAGGGCGTTACCATTAGAGAGGGCGTTACAATTAGAGAGGGCGTTACCATTAGAGAGGCCGTTACCATTAGAGAGACCGTTACCATTAAAGAGGCCGTTACCATTAGAGATGGCATTACCATTAGAGAGGGCGTTACCATTAGAGAGGGCGTTACCATTAGAGAGGGCATTACCATTAGAGAGGCAGTTATCATTAGAGAGGCCGTTACCATTAGAGAGGCCGTTACCATTAGAGAGGGCGTTACCATTAAAAATGCCGTTACCATTAGAGAGGGCGTTACCATTAGAGAGGGCGTTACCATTAGAGAGGGCGTTACCATTAGAGAGGGCGTTACCATTAGAGAGGGCGTTACCATTAGAGATGGCGCTACCATTAGAGAGGGCGCTACTATTAGAGAGGGCGCTACCATTAGAGAGAGGGCGCTACCATTAGAGATGGCGTTACCATTAGAGAGGGCGCTACCATTAGAGAGGGCGCTACCATTAGAGAGGGCGCTACCATTAGAGAGGGCGCTACCATTAGAGAGGACGTTACCATTAGAGAGGACGTTACCATTAGAGAGGGCGTTACCATTAGAGAGAGCATTACCATTAGAGAGGGCGTTACCATTAGAGAGGGCGTTACCATTAGAGAGGGCGTTACTATTAGAGAGGCCGTTACCATTAAAGAGGGCGTTACCATTAGAGAGTGCGTTACCATAAGAGAGGGCGTTACCATTAGAGAGAGCGTTACCATTAGAGAGGGCGTTACCATTAGAGAGGGCGTCACCATTAGAGAGGGCATTACCATTAGAGAGGGCGTCACCATAAGAGAGGGCGTCACCATTAGAGAGGCGTTACCATTAGAGAGGGCGTTACCATTAAAAAGGGCGTTACCATTAGAGAGGGCGTTACCATTAAAGAGGGCGTTACCATTAGAGAGGGCGTTACCATTAGAGAGGGCGTTACCATTAAAGAGGGCGTTACCATTAGAGAGGGCGTTACCATTAGAGCGGGCGTTACCATTAGAAATTGCGTTACCATTAGAGAGGGCGTTACCATGAGAGAGGGCGTTACAATTAGAGAGGGCGTTACCATTAGAGAGGCCGTTACCATTAGAGAGACCGTTACCATTAGAGAGGCCGTTACCATTAGAGATGGCATTACCATTAGAGAGGGCGTTACCATTAGAGAGGGCGTTACCATTAGAGAGAGCATTACCATTAGAGAGGTCGTTATCATTAGAGAGGCCGTTACCATTAGAGAGGCCGTTACCATTAGAGAGGGCGTTACCATTAAAAATGCCGTTACCATTAGAGAGGGCGTTACCATTAAAAATGCCGTTACCATTAGAGAGGGCGTTACCATTAGAGAGGGCGTTACCATTAGAGAGGCGTCACCATTAGAGAGGGCGTTACCATGAGAAAGGGCGTTACTATTAGAGAGGGCGTTTCTTTTAGAGATGGCGTTACCATTAAAGAGGGCGTCACCATTAGAGAAAGCGTTACCATTAGAGATGGCGTTACCATTAGAAAGGCCGTTACCATTAGAGAGGGCGTTACCATTAGGGAGGGCGTTACCATTAGAGAGGGCGTTACCATTAGAGAGGGCGTTACCATTAGAGAGGGCGTTACCATTAGAGAGGGCGTTACCATTAGGGAGGGCGTTACCATTAGAGAGGGCGTTACCATTAGAGAGGGCGTTACCATTAGAGAGGGCGTTACCATTAGAGATGGCGCTACCATTAGAGAGGGCGCTACTATTAGAGAGGGCGCTACCATTAGAGAGAGGGCACTACCATTAGAGATGGCGTTACCATTAGAGAGGGCGCTACCATTAGAGAGGGCGCTACCATTAGAGAGGGCGCTACCATTAGAGAGGGCGCTACCATTAGAGAGGACGTTACCATTAGAGAGGACGTTACCATTAGAGAGGGCGTTACCATTAGAGAGAGCATTACCATTAGAGAGGGCGTTACCATTAGAGAGGGCGTTACCATTAGAGAGGGCGTTACTATTAGAGAGGCCGTTACCATTAAAGAGGGCGTTACCATTAGAGAGTGCGTTACCATTAGAGAGGGCGTTACCATTAGAGAGAGCGTTACCATTAGAGAGGGCGTTACCATTAGAGAGGGCGTCACCATTAGAGAGGGCATTACCATTAGAGAGGGCGTCACCATAAGAGAGGGCGTCACCATTAGAGAGGCGTTACCATTAGAGAGGGCGTTACCATTAAAAAGGGCGTTACCATTAGAGAGGGCGTTACCATTAAAGAGGGCGTTACCATTAGAGAGGGCGTTACCATTAGAGAGGGCGTTACCATTAAAGAGGGCGTTACCATTAGAGAGGGCGTTACCATTAGAGCGGGCGTTACCATTAGAAATTGCGTTACCATTAGAGAGGGCGTTACCATGAGAGAGGGCGTTACAATTAGAGAGGGCGTTACCATTAGAGAGGCCGTTACCATTAGAGAGACCGTTACCATTAGAGAGGCCGTTACCATTAGAGATGGCATTACCATTAGAGAGGGCGTTACCATTAGAGAGGGCGTTACCATTAGAGAGAGCATTACCATTAGAGAGGTCGTTATCATTAGAGAGGCCGTTACCATTAGAGAGGCCGTTACCATTAGAGAGGGCGTTACCATTAAAAATGCCGTTACCATTAGAGAGGGCGTTACCATTAAAAATGCCGTTACCATTAGAGAGGGCGTTACCATTAGAGAGGGCGTTACCATTAGAGAGGCGTCACCATTAGAGAGGGCGTTACCATGAGAAAGGGCGTTACTATTAGAGAGGGCGTTTCTTTTAGAGATGGCGTTACCATTAAAGAGGGCGTCACCATTAGAGAAAGCGTTACCATTAGAGATGGCGTTACCATTAGAAAGGCCGTTACCATTAGAGAGGGCGTTACCATTAGGGAGGGCGTTACCATTAGAGAGGGCGTTACCATTAGAGAGGGCGTTACCATTAGAGAGGGCGTTACCATTAGAGAGGGCGTTACCATTAGGGAGGGCGTTACCATTAGAGAGGGCGTTACCATTAGAGAGGGCGTTACCATTAGAGAGGGCGTTACCATTAGAGATGGCGCTACCATTAGAGAGGGCGCTACTATTAGAGAGGGCGCTACCATTAGAGAGAGGGCACTACCATTAGAGATGGCGTTACCATTAGAGAGGGCGCTACCATTAGAGAGGGCGCTACCATTAGAGAGGGCGCTACCATTAGAGAGGGCGCTACCATTAGAGAGGACGTTACCATTAGAGAGGACGTTACCATTAGAGAGGGCGTTACCATTAGAGAGAGCGTTACCATTAGAGGGTGTTACCATTAGAGAGGGCGTTACCATTAGAGAGGGCGTTACTATTAGAGAGGCCGTTACCATTAAAGAGGGCGTTACCATTAGAGAGTGCGTTACCATTAGAGAGGGCGTTACCATTAGAGAGAGCGTTACCATTAGAGAGGGCGTTACCATTAGAGAGGGCGTCACCATTAGAGAGGGCATTACCATAAGAGAGGGCGTTACCATTAGAGAGGGCGTCACCATAAGAGAGGGCGTCACCATTAGAGAGGCGTTACCATTAGAGAGGGCGTTACCATTAGAGAGGGCGTTACCATTAAAAAGGGCGTTACCATTAGAGAGGGCGTTACCATTAAAGAGGGCGTTACCATTAGAGAGGGCGTTACCATTAGAGAGGGCGTTACCATTAGAGCGGGCGTTACCATTAGAAATTGCGTTACCATTAGAGAGGGCGTTACCATTAGAGAGGGCGTTACAATTAGAGAGGGCGTTACCATTAGAGAGGCCGTTACCATTAGAGAAACCGTTACCATTAAAGAGGCCGTTACCATTAGAGATGGCATTACCATTAGAGAGGGCGTTACCATTAGAGAGGGCGTTACCATTAGAGAGGGCATTACCATTAGAGAGGCAGTTATCATTAGAGAGGCCGTTACCATTAGAGAGGCCGTTACCATTAGAGAGGGCGTTACCATTAAAAATGCCGTTACCATTAGAGAGGGCGTTACCATTAGAGAGGGCGTTACCATTAGAGAGGGCGTTACCATTAGAGAGGGCGTTACCATTAGAGAGGGCGTTACCATTAGAGATGGCGCTACCATTAGAGAGGGCGCTACTATTAGAGAGGGCGCTACCATTAGAGAGAGGGCGCTACCATTAGAGATGGCGTTACCATTAGAGAGGGCGCTACCATTAGAGAGGGCGCTACCATTAGAGAGGGCGCTACCATTAGAGAGGGCGCTACCATTAGAGAGGACGTTACCATTAGAGAGGACGTTACCATTAGAGAGGGCGTTACCATTAGAGAGAGCATTACCATTAGAGAGGGCGTTACCATTAGAGAGGGCGTTACCATTAGAGAGGGCGTTACTATTAGAGAGGCCGTTACCATTAAAGAGGGCGTTACCATTAGAGAGTGCGTTACCATTAGAGAGGGCGTTACCATTAGAGAGAGCGTTACCATTAGAGAGGGCGTTACCATTAGAGAGGGCGTCACCATTAGAGAGGGCATTACCATTAGAGAGGGCGTCACCATAAGAGAGGGCGTCACCATTAGAGAGGCGTTACCATTAGAGAGGGCGTTACCATTAAAAAGGGCGTTACCATTAGAGAGGGCGTTACCATTAAAGAGGGCGTTACCATTAGAGAGGGCGTTACCATTAGAGAGGGCGTTACCATTAAAGAGGGCGTTACCATTAGAGAGGGCGTTACCATTAGAGCGGGCGTTACCATTAGAAATTGCGTTACCATTAGAGAGGGCGTTACCATGAGAGAGGGCGTTACAATTAGAGAGGGCGTTACCATTAGAGAGGCCGTTACCATTAGAGAGACCGTTACCATTAGAGAGGCCGTTACCATTAGAGATGGCATTACCATTAGAGAGGGCGTTACCATTAGAGAGGGCGTTACCATTAGAGAGGGCATTACCATTAGAGAGGTCGTTATCATTAGAGAGGCCGTTACCATTAGAGAGGCCGTTACCATTAGAGAGGGCGTTACCATTAAAAATGCCGTTACCATTAGAGAGGGCGTTACCATTAAAAATGCCGTTACCATTAGAGAGGGCGTTACCATTAGAGAGGGCGTTACCATTAGAGAGGCGTCACCATTAGAGAGGGCGTTACCATGAGAAAGGGCGTTACTATTAGAGAGGGCGTTTCTTTTAGAGATGGCGTTACCATTAAAGAGGGCGTCACCATTAGAGAAAGCGTTACCATTAGAGATGGCGTTACTATTAGAAAGGCCGTTACCATTAGAGAGGGCGTTACCATTAGGGAGGGCGTTACCATTAGAGAGGGCGTTACCATTAGAGAGGGCGTTACCATTAGAGAGGGCGTTACCATTAGAGAGGGCGTTACCATTAGGGAGGGCGTTACCATTAGAGAGGGCGTTACCATTAGAGAGGGCGTTACCATTAGAGAGGGCGTTACCATTAGAGATGGCGCTACCATTAGAGAGGGCGCTACTATTAGAGAGGGCGCTACCATTAGAGAGAGGGCACTACCATTAGAGATGGCGTTACCATTAGAGAGGGCGCTACCATTAGAGAGGGCGCTACCATTAGAGAGGGCGCTACCATTAGAGAGGGCGCTACCATTAGAGAGGACGTTACCATTAGAGAGGACGTTACCATTAGAGAGGGCGTTACCATTAGAGAGAGCGTTACCATTAGAGGGTGTTACCATTAGAGAGGGCGTTACCATTAGAGAGGGCGTTACTATTAGAGAGGCCGTTACCATTAAAGAGGGCGTTACCATTAGAGAGTGCGTTACCATTAGAGAGGGCGTTACCATTAGAGAGAGCGTTACCATTAGAGAGGGCGTTACCATTAGAGAGGGCGTCACCATTAGAGAGGGCATTACCATAAGAGAGGGCGTTACCATTAGAGAGGGCGTCACCATAAGAGAGGGCGTCACCATTAGAGAGGCGTTACCATTAGAGAGGGCGTTACCATTAGAGAGGGCGTTACCATTAAAAAGGGCGTTACCATTAGAGAGGGCGTTACCATTAAAGAGGGCGTTACCATTAGAGAGGGCGTTACCATTAGAGAGGGCGTTACCATTAGAGCGGGCGTTACCATTAGAAATTGCGTTACCATTAGAGAGGGCGTTACCATTAGAGAGGGCGTTACAATTAGAGAGGGCGTTACCATTAGAGAGGCCGTTACCATTAGAGAGACCGTTACCATTAAAGAGGCCGTTACCATTAGAGATGGCATTACCATTAGAGAGGGCGTTACCATTAGAGAGGGCGTTACCATTAGAGAGGGCATTACCATTAGAGAGGCAGTCATCATTAGAGAGGCCGTTACCATTAGAGAGGCCGTTACCATTAGAGAGGGCGTTACCATTAAAAATGCCGTTACCATTAGAGAGGGCGTTACCATTAGAGAGGGCGTTACCATTAGAGAGGGCGTTACCATTAGAGAGGGCGTTACCATTAGAGAGGGCGTTACCATTAGAGATGGCGCTACCATTAGAGAGGGCGCTACTACTAGAGAGGGCGCTACCATTAGAGAGAGGGCGCTACCATTAGAGATGGCGTTACCATTAGAGAGGGCGCTACCATTAGAGAGGGCGCTACCATTAGAGAGGGCGCTACCATTAGAGAGGGCGCTACCATTAGAGAGGACGTTACCATTAGAGAGGACGTTACCATTAGAGAGGGCGTTACCATTAGAGAGAGCATTACCATTAGAGAGGGCGTTACCATTAGAGAGGGCGTTACCATTAGAGAGGGCGTTACTATTAGAGAGGCCGTTACCATTAAAGAGGGCGTTACCATTAGAGAGTGCGTTACCATTAGAGAGGGCGTTACCATTAGAGAGAGCGTTACCATTAGAGAGGGCGTTACCATTAGAGAGGGCGTCACCATTAGAGAGGGCATTACCATTAGAGAGGGCGTCACCATAAGAGATGGCGTCACCATTAGAGAGGCGTTACCATTAGAGAGGGCGTTACCATTAAAAAGGGCGTTACCATTAGAGAGGGCGTTACCATTAAAGAGGGCGTTACCATTAGAGAGGGCGTTACCATTAGAGAGGGCGTTACCATTAAAGAGGGCGTTACCATTAGAGAGGGCGTTACCATTAGAGCGGGCGTTACCTTTAGAAATTGCGTTACCATTAGAGAGGGCGTTACCATGAGAGAGGGCGTTACAATTAGAGAGGGCGTTACCATTAGAGAGGCCGTTACCATTAGAGAGACCGTTACCATTAGAGAGGCCGTTACCATTAGAGATGGCATTACCATTAGAGAGGGCGTTACCATTAGAGAGGGCGTTACCATTAGAGAGGGCATTACCATTAGAGAGGTCGTTATCATTAGAGAGGCCGTTACCATTAGAGAGGCCGTTACCATTAGAGAGGGCGTTACCATTAAAAATGCCGTTACCATTAGAGAGGGCGTTACCATTAAAAATGCCGTTACCATTAGAGAGGGCGTTACCATTAGAGAGGGCGTTACCATTAGAGAGGCGTCACCATTAGAGAGGGCGTTACCATGAGAAAGGGCGTTACTATTAGAGAGGGCGTTTCTTTTAGAGATGGCGTTACCATTAAAGAGGGCGTCACCATTAGAGAAAGCGTTACCATTAGAGATGGCGTTACCATTAGAAAGGCCGTTACCATTAGAGAGGGCGTTACCATTAGGGAGGGCGTTACCATTAGAGAGGGCGTTACCATTAGAGAGGGCGTTACCATTAGAGAGGGCGTTACCATTAGAGAGGGCGTTACCATTAGGGAGGGCGTTACCATTAGAGAGGGCGTTACCATTAGAGAGGGCGTTACCATTAGAGAGGGCGTTACCATTAGAGATGGCGCTACCATTAGAGAGGGCGCTACTATTAGAGAGGGCGCTACCATTAGAGAGAGGGCACTACCATTAGAGATGGCGTTACCATTAGAGAGGGCGCTACCATTAGAGAGGGCGCTACCATTAGAGAGGGCGCTACCATTAGAGAGGGCGCTACCATTAGAGAGGACGTTACCATTAGAGAGGACGTTACCATTAGAGAGGGCGTTACCATTAGAGGGTGTTACCATTAGAGAGGGCGTTACCATTAGAGAGGGCGTTACTATTAGAGAGGCCGTTACCATTAAAGAGGGCGTTACCATTAGAGAGTGCGTTACCATTAGAGAGGGCGTTACCATTAGAGAGAGCGTTACCATTGGAGAGGGCGTTACCATTAGAGAGAGCGTTTCTTTTAGAGATGGCGTTACCATTAAAGAGGGCGTCACCATTAGAGAAAGCGTTACCATTAGAGATGGCGTTACCATTAGAAAGGCCGTTACCATTAGAGAGGGCGTTACCATTAGGGAGGGCGTTACCATTAGAGAGGGCGTTACCATTAGAGAGGGCGTTACCATTAGAGAGGGCGTCACCATTAGAGAGGGCATTACCATAAGAGAGGGCGTTACCATTAGAGAGGGCGTCACCATAAGAGAGGGCGTCACCATTAGAGAGGCGTTACCATTAGAGAGGGCGTTACCATTAGAGAGGGCGTTACCATTAAAAAGGGCGTTACCATTAGAGAGGGCGTTACCATTAAAGAGGGCGTTACCATTAGAGAGGGCGTTACCATTAGAGAGGGCGTTACCATTAGAGCGGGCGTTACCATTAGAAATTGCGTTACCATTAGAGAGGGCGTTACCATTAGAGAGGGCGTTACAATTAGAGAGGGCGTTACCATTAGAGAGGCCGTTACCATTAGAGAGACCGTTACCATTAAAGAGGCCGTAACCATTAGAGATGGCATTACCATTAGAGAGGGCGTTACCATTAGAGAGGGCGTTACCATTAGAGAGGGCATTACCATTAGAGAGGCAGTTATCATTAGAGAGGCCGTTACCATTAGAGAGGCCGTTACCATTAGAGAGGGCGTTACCATTAAAAATGCCGTTACCATTAGAGAGGGCGTTACCATTAGAGAGGGCGTTACCATTAGAGAGGGCGTTACTATTAGAGAGGGCGTTACCATTAGAGAGGGCGTTACTATTAGAGAGGCCGTTACCATTAAAGAAGGCGTTACCATTAGAGAGTGCGTTACCATTAGAGAGGGCGTTACCATTAGAGAGGGCGTCACCATTAGAGAGGGCGTTACCATTAGAGAGGGCGTCACCATAAGAGAGGGCGTCACCATTAGAGAGGCGTTACCATTAGAGAGGGCGTTACCATTAAAGAGGGCGTTACCATTAGAGAGGGCGTTACCATTAGAAAGGGCGTTACCATTAAAGAGGGCGTTACCACTAGAGAGGGCGTTACCATTAGAGGGGGCGTTACCATTAGAGAGGGCGTTACCATTAGAGATTGCGTTACCATTAGAGAGGGCGTTACCATTAGAGAGGGCGTTACCATTAGAGAGGGCGTTACCATAAGAGAAAGCGTTACCATTAAAGAGGGCGTTACCATTAGAGAGGGCGTTACCATTAGAGAGGGCGATACCATTAGAGGGGGCGTTACCATTAGAAATTGCGTTACCATTAGAGAGGGCGTTACCATTAGAGAGGGCGCTACCATTAGAGAGGGCGCTACCATTAGAGAGGGTGTTACCATTAGAGAGGGCGTCACCATTAGAGAGGGCGTTACCATTAGAGAGGGCGTTACCATTAGAGAGGGCGTTACCATTAGAGAGGGCGTTACCATTAAAGAGGGCGTTACCATTAGAGAGGGCGTTACCATTAGAGAGGGCGTTACCATTAAAGAGGGCGTTATCATTAGAGAGGGTGTTACCATTAGAGAGGGCGTTACCATTAGAGAGGGCGTTATCATTAGAGAGGGCGTTACCATTAGAGAGGGCGTAACCATTAGAGAGGGCGTTACCATTAGAAATTGCGTTACCATTAGAGAGGGCGTTACCATTAGAGAGGGCGTTACCATTAGTGAGGGCGTTACCATTAGAGAGGGCGTTACCATGAGAGAGGGCGTTACCATTAGAGAGGGCGTTACCATTAGAGAGGGCGTTACCATTAAAGAGGGCGTTACCATTAAAGAGGGCGCTACCATTAGAGAGGGCGCTACCATGAGAGAGGGCGTTACCATTAGAGAGGGCGTTACTATTAGAGAGGGCGTTACCATGAGAAAGGGCGTTACCATTGGAGAGGGCGTTACCATTAGAGAGGGCGTTACCATTAGAGAGAGCGTTACCATTAGAGAGGCCGTTACCATTAAAGAAGGCGTTACCATTAGAGAGTGCGTTACCATTAGAGAGGGCGTTACCATTAGAGAGGGCGTCACCATTAGAGAGGGCGTTACCATTAGAGAGGGCGTCACCATAAGAGAGGGCGTCACCATTAGAGAGGCGTTACCATTAGAGAGGGCGTTACCATTAAAGAGGGCGTTACCATTAGAGAGGGCGTTACCATTAGAAAGGGCGTTACCATTAAAGAGGGCGTTACCACTAGAGAGGGCGTTACCATTAGAGGGGGCGTTACCATTAGAGAGGGCGTTACCATTAGAGATTGCGTTACCATTAGAGAGGGCGTTACCATTAGAGAGGGCGTTACCATTAGAGAGGGCGTTACCATAAGAGAAAGCGTTACCATTAAAGAGGGCGTTACCATTAGAGAGGGCGTTACCATTAGAGAGGGCGATACCATTAGAGGGGGCGTTACCATTAGAAATTGCGTTACCATTAGAGAGGGCGTTACCATTAGAGAGGGCGCTACCATTAGAGAGGGCGCTACCATTAGAGAGGGTGTTACCATTAGAGAGGGCGTCACCATTAGAGAGGGCGTTACCATTAGAGAGGGCGTTACCATTAGAGAGGGCGTTACCATTAGAGAGGGCGTTACCATTAAAGAGGGCGTTACCATTAGAGAGGGCGTTACCATTAGAGAGGGCGTTACCATTAAAGAGGGCGTTATCATTAGAGAGGGTGTTACCATTAGAGAGGGCGTTACCATTAGAGAGGGCGTTATCATTAGAGAGGGCGTTACCATTAGAGAGGGCGTAACCATTAGAGAGGGCGTTACCATTAGAAATTGCGTTACCATTAGAGAGGGCGTTACCATTAGAGAGGGCGTTACCATTAGTGAGGGCGTTACCATTAGAGAGGGCGTTACCATGAGAGAGGGCGTTACCATTAGAGAGGGCGTTACCATTAGAGAGGGCGTTACCATTAAAGAGGGCGTTACCATTAAAGAGGGCGCTACCATTAGAGAGGGCGCTACCATGAGAGAGGGCGTTACCATTAGAGAGGGCGTTACTATTAGAGAGGGCGTTACCATGAGAAAGGGCGTTACCATTGGAGAGGGCGTTACCATTAGAGAGGGCGTTACCATTAGAGAGAGCGTTACCATTAGAGAGGCCGTTACCATTAGAGAGGGCGTTACCATTAGAGAGGGCGTTACCATTAGAGAGGGCGTTACCACTAGAGAGGGCGTCACCATTAGAGAGGCGTCACCATTAGAGAGGGCGTTACCATGAGAAAGGGCGTTACTATTAGAGAGGGCGTTACTATTAGAGAGGGCGTTACTTTTAGAGATGGCGTTACCATTAAAGAGGGCGTCACCATTAGAGAAAGCGTTACCATTAGAGATGGCGTTACCATTAGAAAGGCCGTTACCATTAGAGAGGGCGTTACCATTAGGGAGGGCGTTACCATTAGAGAGGGCGTTACCATTAGAGAGGGCGTTACCATTAGAGAGGGCGTTACCATTAGAGAGGGCGTTACCATTAGAGAGGGCGTTACCATTAGAGAGGGCGTTATCAATAGAGAGGGCGTTACCATTAGAGAGGGCACCATTAGAGAGGGCGTTACCATTAGAGAGGGCGTTACCATTAGAGATGGCGCTACCATTAGAGAGGGCGCTACTATTAGAGAGGGCGCTACTATTAGAGAGACCGTTACCATTAGAGAGGCCGTTACCATTAGAGATGGCATTACCATTAGAGAGGGCGTTACCATTAGAGAGGGCGTTACCATTAGAGAGGGCATTACCATTAGAGAGGTCGTTATCATTAGAGAGGCCGTTACCATTAGAGAGGCCGTTACCATTAGAGAGGGCGTTACCATTAAAAATGCCGTTACCATTAGAGAGGGCGTTACCATTAAAAATGCCGTTACCATTAGAGAGGGCGTTACCATTAGAGAGGGCGTTACCATTAGAGAGGGCGTTACCATTAGAGAGGCGTCACCATTAGAGAGGGCGTTACAATGAGAAAGGGCGTTACTATTAGAGAGGGCGTTTCTTTTAGAGATGGCGTTACCATTAAAGAGGGCATCACCATTAGAGAAAGCGTTACCATTAGAGATGGCGTTACCATTAGAAAGGCCGTTACCATTAGAGAGGGCGTTACCATTAGGGAGGGCGTTACCATTAGAGAGGGCGTTACCATTAGAGAGGGCGTTACCATTAGAGAGGGCGTTACCATTAGAGAGGGCGTTACCATTAGGGAGGGCGTTACCATTAGAGAGGGCGTTACCATTAGAGAGGGCGTTACCATTAGAGAGGGCGTTACCATTAGAGATGGCGCTACCATTAGAGAGGGCGCTACTATTAGAGAGGGCGCTACCATTAGAGAGAGGGCGCTACCATTAGAGATGGCGTTACCATTAGAGAGGGCGCTACCATTAGAGAGGGCGCTATCATTAGAGAGGGCGCTACCATTAGAGAGGGCGCTACCATTAGAGAGGACGTTACCATTAGAGAGGACGTTACCATTAGAGAGGGCGTTACCATTAGAGAGAGCGTTACCATTAGAGGGTGTTACCATTAGAGAGGGCGTTACCATTAGAGAGGGCGTTACTATTAGAGAGGCCGTTACCATTAAAGAGGGCGTTACCATTTGAGAGTGCGTTACCATTAGAGAGGGCGTTACCATTAGAGAGAGCGTTACCATTAGAGAGAGCGTTACCATTAGAGAGGGCGTCACCATTAGAGAGGGCATTACCATTAGAGAGGGCGTTACCATTAGAGAGGGCGTCACCATAAGAGAGGGCGTCACCATTAGAGAGGCGTTACCATTAGAGAGGGCGTTACCATTAGAGAGGGCGTTACCATTAAAAAGGGCGTTACCATTAGAGAGGGCGTTACCATTAAAGAGGGCGTTACCATTAGAGAGGGCGTTACCATTAGAGAGGGCGTTACCATTAGAGATGGCGTTACCATTAGAGAGGGCGTTACCATTAGAGAGACCGTTACCATTAGAGAGGCCGTCATTATTAGAGAGGCCGTTACCATTAGAGATGGCGTTACCATTAGAGAGGGCGTTACCATTAGAGAGGGCGTTACCATTAGAGAGGACGTTACCATTAGAGAGAGCGTTACCATTAGAGAGGGCGTTACCATTAGAGAGGGCGTTACTATTAGAGAGGCCGTTACCATTAAAGAGCGCGTTACCATTAGAGAGGGCGTTACCATTAGAGAGGGCGTTACCATTAGAGAGGGCGTTACCATTAGAGAGGGCGTTACTATTAGAGAGGCCGTTACCATTAAAGAGGGCATTACCATTAGAGAGTGCGTTACCATTAGAGAGGGCGTTACCATTAGAGAGAGCGTTACCATTAGAGAGGGCGTTACCATTAGAGAGGGCGTCACCATTAGAGAGGGCGTTACCATTAGAGAGGGCGTCACCATAAGAGAGGGTGTTACCATTAAAGAAGGCGTTACCATTAGAGAGGGCGTTACCATTAGAGAGGGCGTTACCATTAGAGAGGGTGTTACCATTAGAGAGGGCGTTACCATTAGAGCGGGCGTTACCATTAGAAATTGCGTTACCATTAGAGATGGCGTTACCATTAGAGAGGGCGTTACAATTAGAGAGGGCGTTACCATTAGAGAGGCCGTTACCATTAGAGAGACCGTTACCATTAGAGAGGCCGTTACCATTAGAGATGGCATTACCATTAGAGAGGGCGTTACCATTAGAGAGGGCGTTACCATTAGAGAGGGCGTTACCATTAGAGAGGGCGTCACCATTAGAGAGGCGTCACCATTAGAGAGGGCGTTGCCATGAGAAAGGGCGTTACTATTAGAGAGGGCGTTTCTTTTAGAGATGGTGTTACCATTAAAGAGGGCGTCACCATTAGAGAAAGCGTTACCATTAGAGATGGCGTTACCATTAGAAAGGCCGTTACCATTAGAGAGGTCGTTACCATTAGGGAGGGCGTTACCATTAGAGAGGGCGTTACCATTAGAGAGGGCGTTACCATTAGAGAGGGCGTTACCATTAGAGAGGGCGTTACCATTAGGGAGGGCGTTACCATTAGAGAGGGCGTTACCATTAGAGAGGGCGTTACCATTAGAGAGGGCGTTACCATTAGAGATGGCGCTACCATTAGAGAGGGCGCTACTATTAGAGAGGGCGCTACCATTAGAGAGAGGGCGCTACCATTAGAGATGGCGTTACCATTAGAGAGGGCGCTACCATTAGAGAGGGCGCTACCATTAGAGAGGGCGCTACCATTAGAGAGGGCGCTACCATTAGAGAGGACGTTACCATTAGAGAGGACGTTACCATTAGAGAGGGCGTTACCATTAGAGAGAGCGTTACCATTAGAGAGGGCGTTACCATTAAAGATGGCCTTACCATTAGAGAGGGCGTTACCATTAGAGAGTGCGTTACTATTAGAGAGGGCGTTACCATTAGAGAGGGCGTTACCATTAGAGAGAGCGTTACCATAAGAGTGGACGTTACCATTAGAGGGGCGGTTACCATTAGAGAGGTGGTTACCATTAGAGAGGCGGTTACCATTAGAGAGGCCGTTACCATTAGAGAGGCGGTTACCATTAGAGAGGCGGTTACCATTAGGGCGTATTCCTGACTTCGTGTCATCCGGCCCTCGTGTCATCCGAACATGTGGGACCACTCAAATGTGCCGCGTCGGATGACCCGAAGTCGAATCGGCAATTCTTTTCTCGGGGAAAAAAATTTTCGGATAACACGAAGTGCGGATGACACGAAGTTAGGAATACGCCCTTAGAGAGGCGGTTACCATTAGAGAGGACGTTACCATTCGAGAGGCCGTTACCATTAGAGATGCCGTTACCATTAGAGAGGCCGTTACCATGAGAGAGGTCGTTACCATTAGAGAGACCGTTACCATTAGAGAGGCCGTCATTATTAGAGAGGCCGTTACCATTAGAGATGGCGTTACCATTAGAGAGGGCGTTACCATTAGAGAGGGCGTTACCATTAGAGAGGACGTTACCATTAGAGAGAGCGTTACCATTAGAGAGGGCGTTACCATTAGAGAGGGCGTTACTATTAGAGAGGTCGTTACCATTAAAGAGCGCGTTACCATTAGAGAGGGCGTTACCATTAGAGAGGGCGTTACCATTAGAGAGGGCGTTACCATTAGAGAGGGCGTTACTATTAGAGAGGCCGTTACCATTAAAGAGGGCGTTACCATTAGAGAGTGCGTTACCATTAGAGAGGGCGTTACCATTAGAGAGAGCGTTACCATTAGAGAGGGCGTTACCATTAGAGAGGGCGTCACCATTAGAGAGGGCGTTACCATTAGAGAGGGCGTCACCATAAGAGAGGGCGTTACCATTAAAGAAGGCGTTACCATTAGAGAGGGCGTTACCATTAGAGAGGGCGTTACCATTAGAGAGGGCGTTACCATTAGAGAGGGCGTTACCATTAGAGCGGGCGTTACCATTAGAAATTGCGTTACCATTAGAGATGGCGTTACCATTAGAGAGGGCGTTACAATTAGAGAGGGCGTTACCATTAGAGAGGCCGTTACCATTAGAGAGACCGTTACCATTAGAGAGGCCGTTACCATTAGAGATGGCATTACCATTAGAGAGGGCGTTACCATTAGAGAGGGCGTTACCATTAGAGAGGGCATTACCATTAGAGAGGCCGTTATCATTAGAGTGGCCGTTACCATTAGAGAGGCCGTTACCATTAGAGAGGGCGTTACCATTAAAAATGCCGTTACCATTAGAGAGGGCGTTACCATTAAAAATGCCGTTACCATTAGAGAGGGCGTTACCATTAGAGAGGGCGTTACCATTAGAGAGGGCGTTACCATTAGAGAGGGCGTTACCATTAGAGAGGGCGTTACTATTAGAGAGGCCGTTACCATTAAAGAGGGCGTTACCATTAGAGAGTGCGTTACCATTAGAGAGGGCGTTACCATTAGAGAGGGCGTCACCATTAGAGAGAGCGTTACAATTAGAGAGGGCGTTACCATTAGAGAAGCCGTTACCATTAGAGATGGCATTACCATTAGAGAGGGCGTTACCATTAGAGAGGGCGTTACCATTAGAGAGGGCATTACCATTAGAGAGGCCGTTATCATTAGAGAGGCCGTTACCATTAGAGAGGCCGTTACCATTAGAGAGGGCGTTACCATTAAAAGTGCCGTTACCATTAGAGAGGGCGTTACCATTAAAAATGCCGTTACCATTAGAGAGGGCGTTACCATTAGAGAGGGCGTTACCATTAGAGAAGGCGTTACCATTAGAGAGGGCGTTACCATTAGAGAGGGCGTTACTATTAGAGAGGCCGTTACCATTAAAGAGGGCGTTACCATTAGAGAGTGCGTTACCATTAGAGAGGGCGTTACCATTAGAGAGAGCGTTACCATTAGAGACCACTCCTCCCGCTCCTCGCCCTCCATGCCCTCCATTTCGCCCCCACGCTTCCCCCTCACCCTTCCCGCTTCCTCTCTTTCTCTTCCACCAGAGACATTACACAGCCCGAATTACACCAGTGCCTGGGCACCAAGTGGGTGCATCTCTTTGGGGACCACACCTCCCGCCTCCTCGCCTCTACTTGCATGCCCCCGCTCTCCACCTTCCCTTCCCCCTTCCCCTTTTCCCGCACGCCAGGGATATTTCTCTCCCCGAGCTGCATCAGTGCCTGGGCACCAAGTGGGTGCATTTCTCTGGGGACCACACCTCCCGCCTCCTGGCCCTCCATTTCGCGCGCCTGCTGGGGCTGCAGAAGCAGGGTGGGGAGGGGGAGGACGGGGAGGAGGGGGGAGACGGGGACGGGCCGTTTGGGGGAGGCGGGGGAGGGGAAGGGGAAGGGGAGGGTGGGGCGGGAGGCGAAGGGGGAGAGGGTGGGGAGGGGTTGGGGGAAGGTGGGGGAGAGGGGGGGGAGGCAGGAGCGCGAGGGCCTGGGGTGGCAGAGGGAGTGGAGGAGGAGGGGGACGGAGAGGTGGGTGGGGTGGGTGCTGGTGGTGGTGCTGGGGGGAGCAGGGGGCGGGGGGTGATAAGTGCGGATGAGATGGGGGAGGTAGTGAGGCGGAGGCGTCTGTCCTTTACTGTTGAGGCGTCTCAGAGTTCTTTGGTAGGAACTGGAGAGAGGGAGGGGAGTGAGGGGGAGCTGGAGGAATGGGGAGGGCTTGTGAGCAGCAGCGGCGGCGGCGGCGGCGGCAGCAGCAGCAGCAATACAATAGCAACTGTTATCAGCAGCAGCAATATGAGCAGCAGCGACAGCAGCAGCAGCGGGCGGAGGAGACTAGCAGCAGCCACGGAGCTGGGCGGCAGTGGCAGAAAGGGAGGCGGGCCGAGAGTGACTTACCTGTTCCGCGGCAAGATGGCACGGCAGCGACACCCCGAGGTGGGTGCACGCATTGGCATGTTTACACTGACATATCCTCACCTGTCCAGTTGAGTTTCCACCCCAACTAGCCCCATATTCCCCCCTCCCCCCCCCGCCCACCTCCCTCCTCTCCTCCTGCACTTAAACAACAAATCCTCAGCCCGGCACACACACCGGTGCAGAGCGATTTGACCGACCAGTTTCTACTGAACATGGCCAAGTCAAGCAGGCGCCCAAATCTCATAGTCATGGGCGCGGGGGTGCATGAGGTGATGTGGTGGGGGAGAAGACTCATGGCTCATTGTAATCTTACCATCACGTTCACCCCTTACTTTCCCCTCCTTCCCTCCCGCTTCCTTGCCTCCTTGCTTCCCTACCACCCCTCCTCCCAACAACTCCTTATACAGCCGGGCACGTCGGAGCAGCGGGATTTTAACGACCAGTTTCTTCTCAACATGACAACAAAGACAGGCGGGCAGCCGGATTTTATTGTGATGGGCGTGGGGGTGCACGAGGTGATGGGGTGGGGGAAGAGGCCCCCTCCTGATCTCAAATCTGATGCGTTTGTCACGAATGCACCCTTTGCACCCCTGTGTCTTCCCCCTTATGCAGCCGGGCACACCGGAGCAGCGGGATTTGAACGACCAGTTTCTGGTGAACATGACCAAAAGCAGCAAACGTCCGGATTTTATTGTGATGGGCGTGGGGGTGCACGAGGTGATGGGGTGGGGGAAGCGACCCCCGCCTGATCTCGAATTCGATGCGTTCCGGGAAGATACCGAGAAGCTTCTGGATTTGCTGAGAAGGACATATGGAGGAGGGAAGGTGGTGTGGTGGAAGGCGAATGCCATCTGGCCAGGTGGGTCTCGGGTGGGTTTCAGGTGGGTTTCAGGTGGGTTTCAGGTGGGTTTCAGGATCTGAGAGAAGGTAGGAGAAATTGGTTATTTTTTCAGCGCCTTGAGAGGAGTATTTCCATCCCCAGCGCATTTGAGGTGCAGCGCCACCCAAACAAGCATCCATAATTCTCTGCGATGTCTATGTGTTTTGTTTTTCTGGTGTTTCGCATTCCGAGAGCCATCTTATAATACTGTACTGCTATCTCCTGTAACTTTCTTCTTCATTTCATATATGTGCAGGAGCCTTGCTGATGGAGGACTTTTTTCATATGAGGCAATACCACGAGGTCTATCAGGCCCACACGAGGTGACTTATGAGTCGACCCAGAAGTCATCTCCTGTGAATCTCTTTCTTCTTTCACACGTGCTGCAGGGGCCCTTCTGATGGAGGACTATTTTCAGATGAGGCAATACCACGAGCTCTATCAAGCACACGCGTACAGAAGGTTCCAGGAAGCTGGCCATGCCGTGGCGGACTTTTACCAGACGACAGAGGACAGACCTGAGCTGGTGGTTTCACAAGACGGGACTCGATACAGGGGAGAAGTCATCGTGTTACATGCAAAGATTATCGCCAATATCTTGTGCAACCGTTGATTTGATAATATATGGCCACGTGGTGGCGGACTTTTACCGTACCACCGCACAGAGGACAGACCTGAGCTGGTGGTTTCACAAGACGGGACTCGATACAGTGCACAAGTCATTGCACTACATGCAAAGATTATCGCTAATATTTTGTGCAACCGTCAATAATGTCTGGCCTTGCCTCGTCGTGACTCAGTACACTTCTAATCCTTGTACCGTCATCGCGTGGTATAGTACCGTCTATTGTCATGTGCGTCGTATAACCCGCATAGCTGCTCCACAGTGCCCCTCATGATGCCCCTTCCCTCACACCCTCCCCCCTCCCCTTCCGCTAAAGGATGCAGGTTGTGGGTTGCGGGTTACCGTGCGTGATAAAGGATGGCAGGAATCAGCTAAGCATCTTGCACCGCACATCACCGCACAGCACAGCAAATGATGTTCTACTATGTACTTGTTTTTCTACACTACAGTACACTTCAACTCAGTAAATGCCTAGTCCTGTCCACTGCTGGGAGTAACAATGCATCATTGGCTGTGCCCTTCACAAAATCTTTGGATTAGGAGCAGAATACTATCCGCGAATAATAATACTAGTGTATACATATATATAATAGGTAGTATGCTGATACTAATATGTTAGTATGCCTAGGCGGCGGTCTAAATACTGCTGACCTGTAACTTGCCATGAAAGAATGGGTTTGATTGTACCGAAATCAAGCAAAAAGTGGCTGGTGGTGGCAGTGCACATCACATGGTGGCCGCGGCTGCTGCTGACAGGCTCACATCACATCACATCACATGGTATCCCTTCTGTGCGCAGCAGCAGGCACGCAAACTCTCACATGCGGCTTTCGCAAACAGCTCCTACCGCTGCTGCTGCCAGGCGGGCTGCTGCTGACAGGTAAGTATCCCTTCGGCTCACATCACATCACATGGTGTCCCTTCTGTGTGCAGCAGCAGGCACGCACACTCTCACATGTGAGAAGCGCTGCTGCAGGCACATGAGGCCTTTCACAAACAGCTCCTGCCGCCTCACTGCCCCCATGCACACCGCTGCTGCTCCGGCTGTAGCAGCAGCTGTAGCACCGGCTGTTGCACCGCCGTCTGTAGCGCAGACGACAGGTGCTGCCGCTGATGCTGCTGCAGTGGCATTCACAGAGCCCTCGTCTTCTCCAGTCATATTGACATCCTTCTCTTCCTCCTCCCACTCCTCCTCCATCCCCTCCTCCATCACCCCCTCCTCCCCCATCCCTTCCTCCATCTCCCCTTCAACCTCCTCTCCCTCATACCCCTCCTCTCCCTCCTCCTCTACCTCTTCTTCCTCCTCGTCATCCCCGGGAACTAAGCTTACTTGGAGCGATCTAAGGGAAGGCATGCGGCACAGCATGGTGTGCAGCAGCAGCAGCGCCTCGGGTCGCTCCTCCTGCACGCGCACCTTAATCTCCGCCAGTTGCGGCCACGGATGATCCGCGCGCATCTCGTACCCGCGTTCCGCGTACGCGTCGTCCGCGCGCCCGCCGTCCGCGCGGAACGCGCCCGCCGCGGCCGCCCACGAGACGACGAGCTGCCACGGCAGCGCGCCGAAGCTGAGCGCCTTCAGGTTCGGACACGAGGCTGCGAGCCAGGTCAGGGAGAACACCCCAGCGGAAATCGCGCCAGGTCCCGCGGAGAAGAAGTCTAGCGAGAAGGAGATTAAAGACGCGCCCGCGGTTTGAACCAGGGCTTTTATCGCCGTCCAGCCGAACGCCGCGGCTTTAAGGTCCAGCGAGGCAAGGAGCGGCGAATCAGGAGCCGCCACGTCGAGCACGCTCGCGCTGGCGACCGCCACGTGGCGCAGAAGCGGAGCGTCGCGCACGGACACCGAGCGCACGAACATGTCTCGAACGGATAGCGAGCGGAGCGCGCGGGCGTTGCGGAACGAGCAGGACTCGGCGCGCAGATACGCGAGCTCGACGTGCTCCACTGTAGCGGGCAGGCGAAGATTTATCCGTGGGCAGCCCGTGGCCATAAAAATGGAGAGCCGGCGAAGGTTCGGCGAAGCGTCGAGGACGGCTTGAAGGCTCTCATTGGACGCGTGAATCCAGGAGAGCGAGAGGTGTTCCAGGTGTCGCATTGGCGGGAGATGACACGTCAGCAGGGACGAGGAGAGCGACAGGGAGCCCAGGGAGAGGGATTTCAGCGACGAACAGTGGCGTGCCACGTGGCGCAAATGCACGCTGAGATCTTCGTTTTCCCACACGTTCACCGTCATCCCGCCGGCCGCGCCGCACGTGCTCCCGCACGACCCAGCGCAACTGCCGCTGCGCGGAGGAGGTTGCAAGGAGCGCGAGAAGACGAGCGATTGTAGTTGCGGCCCGACGTGGCGCATCCACGCTTCGAAGATGAATTCGCGCGGGTGTTGCTGCGGAGCCGCCACGTGGCACCCGCAGAAATTGCAGCAGCCGTTCGAGTCGCTGCCACTCGCGCCGGCACTGGCGCACGCGGCGTGATGATGCAGCTCCGCCGCGCCGCTGCCGTCATTCTCGGCGCAAGAGCAGGCGCCAGCACCGTCAGCGGCTAGCGCTGACGACACGTGGAGGTGCTGCAGCGACCGCGTTTTCAGGACTATGCGCGAAACGAGCTCCTCGAGTCGCGCGGGAGAGGCTGTCGCCGCCGCGCGGTCGCCGCTTGCAACGTCAGATGGGGCGAAACGGAGCGCTGGGACGTAGCGCGTGAGAGCACGAAATCTTCTGCACGTCAGCGAGATGATACTTACGTCAGCCGCGCCGCAGCCGACGCGGGCGAAGATATCGACGATGAGCTCGTCTGGCAGCAGCGAAAACGGGTCGCGCGCGGATTGCGGAGACGAGAACAGGGCAGCGGGTGATGCGACGCGAAACGCGGAAGTGAGCGGAATTGCCAGAACAGACGGTCGCGAAAGGCGGCGGGCGGAGAAACCGGGCTCCGAGTCAACGCATGGTCCGGCTGACAGTGATTTGGGCATCGTCGCTTGAGAAGTCGTGCGATTGCATGCGACGTCGCATGCTGTCGCAGAGCCGGAAACAGCTGCGAGGTCGCAGGCCTGCGACGCGCCGTGGTAGGGTTTGCTGGGCAAGGCGAGAGGGAATGGTTGCTGCCGAACGTTTTCCATGGCTGCTCGTCGTGAACTTCAGAAACGTATTTTCTTGAAGCCTAATGTTGGCGATGTGCCGAAGCAGAATTGATGGAGACGAAGGAACGAAATATCTCGGTACAGGTTGAACGAGCAGCGCGTTTGAAGCAAAGGCTGAAGAAAACTCCGCAGAAACGGCGGCGCGCGGAAATACAAGGCAGGGGTTGAATGGGCTGCTCCAAATATCTCAAAAAGACGGTAACAGAGAGCTGAAAATGGAACGAGTGGCCAAGAATCAAGGTAAGAAATTATAGATATTTGCAAGAATGAGCCACAGACGGCTGTGGCATCGACTGATAACCGCTAAGCGAGAGGTAGACGGAATGTTGAGAAAAGGGGGGCTCGGTGAAGGTCCTCTCTGAAAGCAGCTAGGGGGAGGTATGAACGAGAGACGAAGGGGGACAGGACGACGACGAGAGATGAACGAGGGATGCCCCAGATGAGAGGAGAGAACGTTTGAAGGGAGAAAATAGTCCCAACCGCCACTTGTGGCGCCTTCACTGCTTCACGCGTCACAGAGCAGACGCTGACGTTTTTCATCGCACTGTGCTGCAACTGTTGCACAGTCTAAGTGAACTCCGTCTGCGAACTGTGCAGTGCAGCTGTGCGGAATTCTGCATCACAAAAAACAGGGTCGGAAATCAGAGCACATTCGGTTGGAATTCTGTCAGACCCTCGGAAATCTGACGGAAAACTTTGGGGTTCTTCCGTCAGAAATCAGACTACTGGATCGATGGTGTTTCCAACTGATTTCCAGTCAGATTTCCGTCGGACAAGTACCAACTGTTTTCGGATGGTTTGCTCTCAGAAATCCGACAGTTTTCCGAGCTGGTCGCGCTTCGGGCGAAACTGATTGCCCCAACAATAAATTTGATAAGAAAATTACTGTAGTTACAATACACTATTAAGTGCAATGTTGATTGGTATGTACGAAAGAATCTTTATTGATATTTCCTGGTAATTTGATAGCAGTACGAATTCAATATAATATTCCTCGGGGTGCTGTATTATAATTCTTCAGTAAACAACGCTTGTCGTGCTTTACATAATAATCATTATAAATTGCACTACATAGAATATAATCTGACAAACCGTGGCAATACCTCATGATACTATCTTGAATAATAGCACAGAACAAGTTTTAAAAGAACAGACAGGCAAGGCAGCACCTACTAGTACACGGAATAACGTGCAGACCTTGCCGCTACAGCAGCAGAACAACAGAACGCCATGGTAGCTGCTGCAGCTGCAGCAGCAGAACGGAAAGCAAAGAGAATTGAGTCACGCTAAAAAAAAAAGGGCTAAAAATGCCTACGGACATACTTACGTGCAATGGCGTTACCACGATACACTTCGTATTTCCGGGAACAGCTTGAAATGATGGTCTGCGAAATCGGCATACAGAAAACAAGTTAGTCGACAGTTTACCATGCAGGCAGGGCAATAAGGCATCTGAAACACAGAAGAGAAACATCAATCGTGCCAATCGTGTTGCCGATCTTTCACCAATTCCTCAGTTCTGCGTCAGTAAAAAAAACAACAGCGCCGAAAAGGTGAGTAAGAGCGCTACAAAAAATCGTTGACTTGGAAAATACAATGAAACTACGTACTAAGAGCGTGTCCTTGGGCATAATCTGTTAAGTTAATCGACATGGAGCGTGGTGAGGAGAGGCAAGGCAAGAGACGCCAGTCACGCGGAGGAGAGGATGAAAAGTTAGGAACGGTGAAAAAATGAACGGGAAAGTGAAGGTAGGGAGCTCTGAAAGGGGCCGGGGGAAGATGGTGCGCCAGCTGCTGTTGCACTTGCCCCGTCAGCAGAGTAGGTTGGCAAGCGCAGTCGCGCTGGCTGCAGCTTCTGCTGGGTGGCTTGTGCTGTTGCGGGAAGGAGATTTGCGCTTGCAAAGCGCTGGAGGTCCCAGGTGCGCTAGAGGCAGCTGGCGCAATTGCGCGCAGGTGTTTGCATCAGCCGCGCTGCTGGCAGATGCAGCAGCTGCGCAAGTTGGCAGTTGCACCAATTGCGCAGCTGTCAAGATTCCAGTCCAGCGCAACTGTGCAAGTTTTACAGTTCAGCAGCTTGTAACACAGCGCGTGACGGTGAAAAAGGACCAATCAGAATTAATTTTATCGCCAACAAGGTGGATAAGAAAACAATGCACCAATTACATATCACTTCAGCGATGACGTGTTCGCATACGTGACCAGCAGCGTATAGAAATGACGTGTGCTGGGAAAACCATTGCGGAGGCCAGGAAACAAAATGTACAGTGTATACGTTCATTTTGACCAGCCTGGTACTGGCGTTTTGTTTCCAAGATTCCAAAATCTTGCTCCTACAAATCATCACAATTTGAAACGAACATATGCGGATATAGGTTTTTTTCACTTTCATTGCTGTAAGTATATTCGTATAATTCCAAATGATTTTAGTGTTGATCATTCCAGATCTAGTTATATGTGGATTTTTTGTTTGTTTTTCACTTTCATTGCACGAGTTTGGATATTGCGTAAATGTTGTGATTTGTGACTCTCTTCTTGAAAATACAATTGTTTAGCTAAGTGATGTACTTATGGCCACTGATAACATAATAAGCATTTGCATTAAAACATTCTGAATTATTGAGTATGGGAATATGCACACGATGAGATAACATAATTCGAGCTGGAGATGTTATGGATCTGTGCAATCGTTCAAAACATCATATCCGCTTATCACGTTGTCTGAATTGCACTTACTTTGTTCATAACAATTTGAGTATTATGAACGTTTGAAGTATCTAAAGAAATATTGTTAAAAAAAACAATAGAACGTCGAAACGACACAGCATGTCGCATAGGCCTATGCTTGCACAGTTTTCCCTACTCAATTGTTTGCAAAGGCACATCTTCCTACTACGTGGTACGAATGGCCCAAAACTTGTCTAGCATGCTTGTCATATAGAAAATGTATGACAACAGCCGACGAATGCGTAGCAGTGCAAGTCGTGCCAATCGTTTGCGCGCACCTGCGAGCGTGCGCACTACTGTCTTCTACGGGATAACGCTGGACAGCCGCCCTGCTGCATCGTTTGCACGTCTTCGACCTGCTCTGCTGACAACTCGCCCATGTTAGCACAACTACGCAGCACGTGGCGCATGTTTGTGCGTTTGCTGGCCTAAAACTGTGCAAGGATAGGCCTGTGCGCAACATGTCACTGCAACAGCATCTGGATGCCTTTTTTAGCAATATTTCTTCACACAGTTCCCTAATACATCCTTTTCCCTAGCCATAGGAACTGGTTTGACCTCGTTAGCACAACTACGCAGCATGTAGCGCATCTTTGTGCGTTCGCTGGCCCGAATCTGTGCAAGGATAGGTCTGTGCGCAAGATGTCAATGCGCCAACGTCTAAATGCCTTTTTTAGCACTATTTTTTCACACAGTTCTCTACTACATCCTATTACCTAGCCATAGGAACTGGTTTGACCTCGTTAGCACAACTACGCAGCACGTGGCGTATGTTTGTGCGTTCGCTGGCCCGAATCAGTGCAAGGATAGGTCTGTGCGCAAGATGTCACTGCGCCAACGTCTAAATGCCTTTTTTAGCACTATTTCTTCACTTAGTTCTCTACTACATCCTATTACCTAGCCATAGGAACTGGTTTGACCTCGTTAGCACAACTACGCAGCACGTGGCGCATGTTTGTGCGCTCGCTGGCCCGAATCTGTGCAAGGATAGGTCTGTGCGCAAGATTGTCAGAATGAAAGAAACAGGAAATGATTGAACTAGCACAAAGTTGGGTACAAGTAGGAAACCCTAAGTTTGTGTACCCCCTAAGGCTAAACCCACTATAGCCTACACAATGTAAACATACAATGTTTGACACACCCCCATAGGCGAAGTGGGAAGACAACCAGAGGGTCACAAGACCAGTCAAAGCAAAGCAAAGCAAAGCAAAGCTCAGGGTGGATCTCAAGGACACCACACAAATTCCGAGCACAAGCAAGTGGTCACAAGACCAGTTCACATGCAGTTTGATAATATAACAAGAGGTACAGTGATCACAACCTAGCAAGTGAAAGCAAGCAGGTATATATACAGAGATCACAGTACAAGCAGAGTCAAGAAGTGAGCAAGTGAGGGAGAGTAGGCACAAGGCCTAGAACAGTACAGAAACGCTGATGATCACAAGGCTGAAGCGCCTTGGTGAACACATCAGCAGTGTTGGCCTGAGTGGCCACGTAACGCAGACGAAGCTGACCACGCTGCTGCAGCTCTCGAGCAAGGAAGTAGCGCAGAGCGATGTGCTTCGTTCTGTGCTCCAGTCTGTGCTCCTCACACAAGGCAATGGCTGCCTTGTTGTCGACGTACAGCACTGGAGGAGAACGAGGCCGCTCTCCGAGGTCTGTCAGCAGGTAGGTGAGCCAGCGTAGCTCCTGGGCAGCCATGGCTGTGGCGTAGATCTCAGCCTCACAACTGGAGCTGAGAACAGAGGAAGAGCGTGTAGAACGCCAGGAAACAGAGCCAGAGCCAAGGCTGAAGGTGTAACCCTGAGACGACCGCTGCGTAGCCTGGTCGTCAGCCCAAGAAGCGTCTGAGTGTCCAGTGAGGACAACGTCGCGCCGTCCTCCAAGCACAAGCCCCATGCCCGACGTACTGCACAAGTAGCGCAACACCCTCTTAGCGGCATCCATGTGCTCCTTCCGGTGACGGCCAGGAGCGACATAGCGTGCGAGGATGCTAAGAGGGTAGGCTAGGTCAGGTCGAGTGCAGGTCATCAGGTACATGAGGCAGCCCACAAGCTCTGGGTACGGGCCACTCGGCTCTACGGACTCATCCGAAGGTAGAGCTGAGA